AGTGCCAATGCGGGGCTGGGGGCCCAGCCAGACCTCTCTGGATGCCAAATCCAAGGAGGGCCAGAGTGGAGGGATGGAGGGTAGGTGACTGGAGGGGAGCTACTGGAGGCCCCCGGGCAGCCCGGTGGCTGCTGTGTGCCTCAGTTTCCCCACAGGCAGTCACTCTTTGGCCCAGGATGCTGGAGATGGCCTGTATCCCGGGCACTGGGGGTTCCCCTGGGTTCTGAGCCCTGGATGTCGAGCCAGACAGGATGAGAGGGGGCAAAGCTCTGCCGCCCACTTCCAGAGCCCTGACGTGAGGACTAACCCGGCTTCGGGCTTCGAGGGTGGGGTGGTGAGGGTGGGCCGGGGCCTCACACCCCCACCAGAACCCACCCAGGAAGCCTCGGCTCTCCCTTTCCCGAGACTCCACCCTCCAGTCTCCTTCCTGCTCATTCTACCCTCCCCTCGGTGTGGGCGCGGCAGTGGGTGCCCCGAGGCACCCAGGGCCCCTGCTCCCTCCTGGAGCAGCCCCTTCCGGGTGCTCAGATGGGCCAGGACCCGAAGCGCCTGCTATGGTGGACGCAGGATGGATTCCAAAGTGTCTGCCCTGCCTTGCTGTGTCCACCTGGGAACTTGCCAGGCTTTGGCCCTTCCTCCCTCTGGCTGGGTTTCGCGTCACCTTGGTTTTCTCTCTGGTTTTGTCTAAATCACTCTTTTTCATTTACATGTTTGCTCATTTTACTGTTTTACTTTTTTTTTTTTTTTTTTTTTTTACTGTTTTACTATTTCTTCCTTCAGACCAAAGGCTGAGTTCCAGGAAGGCGGGGGCCTCACTGGTCTTGCTGGCTGATGGGATCCCAGGCCCAAGTCTCTGCCTGACACAAGTAGGTGCTCGGTAAACACTTGTAAGTCTTGGCTTCGAGACCCTCACGACACAGACGGTTCCTACCTGTCCCCGCCTCCCCCCACCCCCCAGCAGCCATCATCTATGGGGGTAAAGTGAGTGGGACCCCGCCCAGAGCAGGGCTGGGCCATGTATTTACAGAGCTCTGCTGTGTTCCCAGGCTGGGTGCTGACCCAAGGCTATAACAACCAGGATATGTCCCATGCTCCACTAAACAGTACACAGGAGGATGATGGGGGATTTGGAAGCTGGTAAGTGTGATGGACAAAAAGAGAAGAGGGTAAACGGCGTGTGGGGCGCTGCGGGCTGGCTGGGGCACCATTTCAGTGGTGTGTCAGGGAGGTTTCAATGAGGAGGTGACATTTGAACTGAGAACTGAAGGAGGTGGGTTGGCGAGTTGTAGGGGACATCTGCAGGGAGAGATGTCCAGGCAGAGGTCACAGCCTGTGCAAAGGCCCCGGGGCAAGACCATGCCTGGCGTGTTGGAGGAACAGCCAGGAGGCCCGTGTGTCTGGAGCAGAGTGAGCGAGGGGAAGAGAGGGAGGAGGGGAGGGCAGGGAGGGGACGGGGCAGGTCGTGCAGGGCCTTGTGGGCCGCGGGGAGGACCTGGGCTTTTATCCCCAGGGAGGTGGGAGCCCTGGAGGGCTGTGGGCAGAGGGGGGACGTGACCTGACTCTGGTGTTGCCACTGGTTGTTGTGGGGAGGACAGACTGGGGGTGAGGGTGGAGCCGGAGACCAGGATGGGGGTGAGTACCCAGGTCCAGGCAGGGCCGGACCTGGGTGCGAGCTGTGGAGGGAGTGAGATGTGGGCAGACCCAGGATGGATTCTGAAGGCAGAAGGGTGTGAAAAGGGGTGAGAGGGCAGAGGACCAGCCTCCAGGTCCAGCAGGGGCAAACGGCAGGCCTGTGGGGCCTCCTCGAAAGCGTCGTGTGTCCTGCAGTCCACGTCCAACATAACTTTTTGCAGGAATTTGTGAGGGTGTAACTTTGCTTTTAAGATCACTTGGCCGCAAAAACACCTCCCTTGTCCCACGGCGACCACATGGGAAGTCTTTCAGAGACAGTCTACAATGCTCTTTGCCAACAATAGCTATAATAATAAAAGAACTAACACTGGGGACTTCCCTGGCGGTCCAGTGGTTAAGACTCTGCACTTCCAGTGCAGGGAGCGCAGGTTTGATCCCTAGTCAGGGAACTAAGATCCCGCATGCCATGCCGTGCGGCCAAAAGAATAAATAAAATAAAATAAAGAACTAACACCGAGTGCCTGCTGTGAGCCAGGCCCTGTGACATCACCTCTTGGGGCCTCAGTTTCCTCATCTGTGAAACAGGACTAATGTCAAGAGCTCACTCCCGGGGCTGTTGTCAGGATGCAACAAGCCCACAAAATGACAGCAACATCACCATCGACAAATGGGCCCTGCTGGCAGGTGGGAAGGGCTCGAAGGGTTTTCTCCTTTTCTCCTACTTGGATGGCTCACATTTTCTCGGCTTGCTAAGAGCTCAGAGACCCGGCCCGGCCTGGAGGGCTGGGTCAGTCCTTGCAGCTTTGTCCCCACTGGCAAGTGTCCCCAGGGCTAGGGTCCTCGGGGAGGGAGTGCCCCACCACTGACCCCAGGCCTGTATGGCTCACCTGCTGTGCCCTCTCCCAGGCCTTTGATCTTGCTCTGTCCTCTGCCTGGGACACCCTTCCCCTCTGTGCACATCTGCAAAGACCTCTTCATGCCCAGGTCCTCCCTTCTCTGCCTCATCCAGAAAGCCCTCCTGTCGCCCCCTCCCCTCGCTAGTCCAGACTGTCTGGGGCTGGGGGTGGCCTCGTCGAGGCGGGGGATGAGTGTCTCTGGAAAGGTCCTCCACTGCCCTACGTTGGGGCTGCTGTGGCAGGATGTGGGGTTCCAGGTCGAGGAGCAGGGGAACTGGATCCACTGGACAGGGGCCGTTCCCCCAGGGCCTGTGTGTGGGGATGATGCGGGCCCCTCACAGCTTAGTACTGTTAACGGCTGAGGGGTCTGGGGCTGCCTGGAGCCCGGTGAGCAGCTGCTCCCTCCTGCCCCATTCTGGGGGGGCCCGCGTCGTTGCTGGGGGCACCGTTCCAACGCTGGCTGCCAGCCCCCAAAGGGCTGGGTGGGTGGCAGCACAGCCCTGGCCTGAGCTAGAGGGGAAACCGAGGCCCAGAAGTGGGCTGGGGCTGACTGGCCGTGAATGAGCTCTTCCTCCGCTCCGTGGGCCCTTGGACCCGGCACAGGGTTTGGGCTTCAAGAGAGTGGGGGCTGAGGAAGGGTGTAGGCGGGAGGGGGGCCCTGGGCAGATCTGGTTCTGGAAGCTACTGCTGTGCAGGGGCTGGGAAGTGACCAGCTGCGGGGCCTTGTACAGGTCCTCCCGGCTCCAGCCCTTGGCGGCCCCGATGACGATCACAGGCCCTATTTACGGTGACGACGGGGCCACGCTACCAACCCGCCACCAACTCGAACCTGTCGCCCCTGCTGCCCGGGCTGCTGCGGGGCGGGACAGGCGGGAAGCCGTGGAAGGAGGGAGAGGCAGGCAGCAGGGATGGAACCTGACTTCTCCGCGGTCGGGGCAGGGTGCCGGGGACCCGGGGGGGGGGACCCGAGCATGGTGGGCTCCGCCCCCTGCCAGCCACCGCAGACCAGGCTGGTGCAGGAGCAGGGGACCCTGGCCGCCGCCTAGAGGGCAGGGAAAGGGCGCTTCCATGGGGTGTAGCTATTTTCCCTCTTCAGGGAACATCTCTGAGGGAGGGACCCGGTCATCCCCACTTCCCAGGCGGGGAAACTGAAGACAGAGCCAGGAAAGAACCAAGTGTTGGGTTTCGATCGCAGGTCTCGGAGCCCAGAGCCCTCTTGGGCCCTCCCCGCCCAGTCCATGGGCCGGTGGGGCATCTCCACCCTCTCTCAAAGCCCCCCAAGTCCAGGCTCGGGTAGCTAGGCCCGGACGTGACCCCGAGCCGGTGGCCGGTCCCAGGCCGCACGTGGACGCTGGCGCCCACTCCCTGGAGGGCGTGCTGGACGAGGGGCCGTGTCAGCGTGGAGAGGCTCAGTGTGGCAGGTGGGGAGGCTGAGGGGCCTGGGCTGGGAGGGACCTGCATGGCTGTTCGGCGGCTGGGGGCATAAGGAAATGGTGGTGAGGCCAGCCCAGCCAATGGCCGTGGGGCTGGGGCCCTGTGCTCTGCTTAACACCCGGATGAGTTATTAGCTGGGGTGGACAGAGGAGGAAAGCAAGGCTCCAAGCTTGGCTTTCAACCATGTCCAGGCCCCCAAGAGAGAAGGAAGGGGAAGGAGGGACGGGCCACACACCAGGGAGGGGGTGCGTGAGGGCTGCGACCAGCCTGGCCCGCTCCTGCCGCCCCCGGGCCACCTGCAGCGCCCAGACCCCTGCCAGGACCTGATCCCACCCTCATCCTACCCTGCTCCCTAGGGTGGGGCCCCGAGAGCCCTAATTTATGGCCCATCGAGGTATGCTGGAACATGCCGGGCCTTCCTTTCTGGCTTCCAGGAAGGACTGAGCCAGCTGTGCAGAAAGCCCAGGGCCAGGCCGTGCCAGCATCTGGAGCCGCCTAAATCGCCAGGCCCGACAGGCAGCAGCGGCCGAGGACCTCGGGTCCCTCTTCTCGTTGCCGTGGGTACCTGCCCTGAGGGCTCCCGGTGGCCTGTCACCCACCTGTCGGACGGGGACCAGGCTCCGGGGCCAGGCTGTCCAGGGCTCTCCGCTCCAACACCCAGGAATTTGGAAACGGGCCGTGCATGGGGCCTGGGCGTGTTTTCCACATGCTGTTGGCTTTGGGGGGAGGCCCAGAGAGGGGCCTGCAGGGGCGGCCGCAGGAAGGGCTGTGGGCAGCAGGGCCCAGTCCCGCCCCCCATGGGCTCCAGCCCGCCAAGAGAACAGGCCGAGGCCCGCAGACCCCTGCCCGACGCCTGCTCCCTCCTCCGGGGCCCAGCTGGCGCCGTCGGGCCGTCAGGCACAGACCCAGATGCCTTATCTCCTGCCGCTTCCTCACTCCTCCAGCATCCGCCCTGAGGCCCTCACCAGCGCTGGCCTGTCACCCAGCACTCCTCGGACAGGGCTGCACCCCAGAGAACAACGGAGCAGGGGAAACTCACACAGACATACACAGAATTTATTATTTTTAGACGAATTTCAACCTGCCTGAAGTTCCAGGAGGCGGCAGGGCTCACACCTTGGGCTCTGCAAACACCTTCCAGCCCTCCAGCTGGCCCATCTTGACCAGGGCGGCCGTCATGCCCATGTACGCACAGGCGGCAGCTCCAATCCCGTAGCTGTGGGCTGTGAGAGCGGGGAGGCTGGCGTCAGGCACGCACGCGGGCAGCTCACTCATGCCCACCCGGGGCGCCGGCAGTGACCGCGAGAGGACAGCCCCCACTCCAAGCTCGGGTGGCCGGGATGAGCCCCCAGGCCCCGTGCCTTTGAAGACACGTGGCGTGGAAACTGAGGCAGGGAGGAGGGAGGAGGGAGGCAGCAGTCCAGGCTGCTGGGTCCGGGGGCGGGAGGGGACGGATGGCGTGTTGGTCGGTCTCAGCTAGTGTCCTGGCTGAGCCTGCCCTGCGGTCCGGGAAGCGGAGAACACAAGACGCCTGTGGCCTGAGAACGGCCGCAGGAAGGGGGTCTGCCTGCTGGGTGCGGGGCTCACACCCCCATCGCAGGATCAGGGGCGCTGGTCAAACCCAGACCCCAGCCAAGGTCTCGAAGCGAAGGCCAGGAGGGCGCGGGCCTTCTTCCTCAGCATCCTCCCTCTCTGCCCTGCTGGAACCGTCCACGGAGCACTCCCGGCCTGCTGGGCCCTAGGCCCAGCGGTTTATCTGAGTGTGGCTCTGCCCGTCGCGCACCCCTGCCCCGCCCAGGCGAGAAGAGCCGTCTGCTTCCTAGTCCAGGCGGCTCCACTGTGCAAGCCTGGCCTGGGGCCCGGCCCGCCTCCCACTAGGGAGGCATCCGCTCCTGCTTCCCGGGTGCCCTCGGGCCACCTCATCCCCCCTCGGAGACTCAGTTCCTGCATCTGTAAAGTGGGGATGGTGAGAGCGGCTCCCCTGCAGGGCCCTGGGTGCTGGGAGAGGGGCTGCAGCTCCAAGGCCAGCCCCACATGCTCCGTGCGTGCTCAGGGGCCGGCGGGGGAGACAGGCGGCGACCTCGTGTTCTCTGACAAGACGCAGAAGACAGAGGAGAGAGACGCGGCAGACAGGAGAGAGATACGAAGCGAGGGCGGGCGGGGGCCAGGATCACACACCCTGGATCGTATGTGGGGGGCTGGAACAGCGAGAGGGACCGCCGTGCTGACATCTGGGGGAAGGGTGTTCAGGCAGAGGGCACAGCCCATGCCGAGGCCCTGGGGCAGGACCGTGCCTGGTGTGCAGGGGGCACAGCAAGGAGGCCACGGGGCTGGAGCAGAGCGAGCGAGGCGGCGAGGGCAGGGAGGGGATGGGAACAGTCCACGCGCGGGGCCTCGGGGGGCCATGCCAAGTGTCACAGGCAGCCACAGGAGGGCGAGAGGGTGTGGCGAGGTGGGCGCGGGTAGCTGCCTGAGCAGCAACAGCTGAAACCACTGCTACGCTAGCTGGTGGCCAAGGTTCAAAGGTGCTGGGAGCTCTCAGGGCAACGGCCGGCTCTGCAGGTGGACGCGCGTTCTTCCTGCCCGCCGCCCCCACCAGGCCCAGGCCCAGGAGACAAGAGAGGGAGGAGGGGTGGCAGAGGTCAGGGGCGCGGGCTCACTCACTGCGTGCTCCCAGGGCCAAGCCTCCGGCGCAGCCTCCGAGGAAGTAGTTGAGAGGGTCGTCAGGCTTCTCGCGGACCTGGGCGCTGATGCAGGAGGTGAGGCCGAATATGGCACCGATGGCAGCTGTAGGAGCGGAGGGGAGGGACGGGCCCTGAGTCTGAGTCAGGGGCCCAGACCAGCGCCGGGAGGGCCCGCGAAGGAGAAGCCCACGCGCCGGGCGGTCTCGCTCGCTCACCTGCGGTAAACGTGTACCGTCCTGTCCTCGCCACTCCCTCCAGGAAGGAGGCCGGGGTCTGGAGCGCCACGCTGTAGGCGGAGGCGATGAGGCCTGTGGGAAGAAGGGGCGGGGAGGTGAGTCAGACCCGGGCCCTGGCTGGGGGCTGGCCCCTCCCCATCCCACAGTGACTGCTCCCTTCATCCTCACAGCAGCCACCAAGGTGGCTCCTGGCGCCACTGCTTGGCCCAGGAGGGGCTGTTTCAGTCCCACAGTCGATGAGCTGGGGCCCAAACCCGGCTCCAAGGCCTGGGCTCTCACCCGCCCCCTCCAGCCCCCAGGCCTCCCCCTACCAAGGCCTACAGCACGCGGCCTCCGCAAGGATGGGCTGGGGCCTTGGCGGCTGCGCTGGCACTCTGGCCCCGCTCCCCACTCCCACGACAGGCTGCATCCCCCCGCAGGGCCCAGGGTTCCTTAGCAGAGGCTCGGAGGCTCGCTCCGGGGCCACCAAGGCCTCTTCCTCGCCACCGCCGGCCCGTCCCTCGGCCCTGGCTGGCTCAGCCTCGCCACTCTCATCAACTCTTACATCTCTGCCGCCGCCCCGGCTGCCCTGCCCCTGACGTTGGCTTTTACGTGTGAGGGGCCCTGGTGGGGGCCAGGCCTGGAGCCAAGTGCCAGGTGGGCGGCCAGGCCTGAGGTCCTAGCCTGGGGCATCCTGAGGGAACGCTGACCTGGGCCGTGTGTGGGTCTGGGGTAAGACTGGGGCAGCCTCGGGCAGCCTCCCCAGCCAGACCCTCTTCAGTGGACATTAGACCAAAGGCAAGCTGGCTGGCTCCAACACGGGGCTCCCCACCCTCCAGCTGACCCTGCTCGGGGCAGACAATGCACCCCTCCTCTCCCGACAGACCACCAGGGTGAGCAGGCTGCCAGCACAGAACTCCTGGGGCCAGCCCACCCCAGACAAAACACAACTGCCACCTGCCAGGCGGCAAGGGCACCCACCACCCCATTCACCCTCCTCGGGGCCCAATGGGCTCAGTCCCCTCTGATCCGTCGCTTCGTGGGCAGGGCGGGGGGTGTCCTCAGACAGGCAGAGCGACTTGCCTGATGCCACCCAGCAGAGCTGCCTGGAAGCCAGAAGGGTCTAAGCCAAAGGCCAAGCGCCACCTTCACCGATGCCCCAGGGATGTGGGCCCCGCCAGGTCCCCAAGCCTGCAGCTTCTGGAGACCTCACAGCTTGCGTGCAGCCCTCACGTGACCTTCCTGGCTGAGCAGTGTTCCCCCCCAGCCCTGGCTGGGGTTCAGCTCACAAGAGCTGTGGGGAACTTTTCACACTGCACAGCGGGGGTAACCTTGAGAGCAACCCCGAGGCCAAGAGGGCCACCCCACTTCCCAGACAGGGAAACTGAGCCCCAGGGACGACAGGAAAAGAGCACACACACAGAAGGCTCCCTCACGCAAGGCGCCCACCTGAGGACTCCCCAGATCAAATCCCTCCTAATCTCATGATGAACCCTAGGGTCCCTGCTCCCCTCAGAGCGGCTGAAGGCTGGGAAGGGGGGAGGGGACCAGAGTCTGGGGTTCCCCCAAGCCTGCACGGCCCGCCCTGGCCCAACAAACCCCCTTCTTCAGTCATTCTCTCACACGTCCCCACCCCCAAACCCCACCTTGTAAAGAGGCTGAATCAGAGGGGGCTCCCCATCCTGCCTGGGACCTGGGGAGGCATGATCTCCAGAGCTGGGCCAGGAAGCAGGAGTTATGACCCTCTGCCGAAGAACCACTGACAAGATTCAGTGATGGTCCCCAAACCCAGTCAGGCAGTGAGTCCTGGCGGGGGAACCTGATTGACCCCACCCCCATTTGCCTGCGGTCCTGCCTGAGGGACGCCCAGTTCACAGGCCACGTGGGACACAGAGTGCCCCACAATCCCAAGACCCCTCAGAAGTCCTTTACCTGGGAGCGGATGACCTGGAAGGTGCCGGACTATCCCAGGGTCAAGGACTGGCCCCCTCCCCCCAGCAATCCTTCAGTAGGTGATGTGCCAGCCCGCGTCCCCGGGAGCCCACCTAACTCCTCAGACGCTGCAGCCGCCCTCCCCAGCACTTGAGAGTCTCTACTGACTCGGCCCTTCCACAGGCTCCCGTCACCCCCTCAAAAGGCCCCTCCCCAGGCCCTCCGCCTGCTCCTAGCCTCCTGAAGTGACCGTCTTGACACGGTGCACATTCATTCATTCACAATCTGTAACTGTGGGCCCACATACATTCATTCACTCGTTTATTGTGTACCTTCCCTCACTCATTAATTCATTCACAAGTCACTCATTCATTCATCCTAGTTACTGTGGGCCTTCCTTCTCTCATTCATTCACAGTCATTCATTCACTCACGAAGTCACTCATTCGTTCACTCCTAGTTACTGCCCTGTCTTCCTTCCTTCCTTCCCTCACTCATTTGTTCCTCCAGTTATTGCGTTCCCACGGGGTGCTGGGCTGGGCTAGAGCCCGGCTCCCTGCCCTACAGGGGCTCACCATCCCAGGGAAGCCAAGTGTGAAACGAGTTCCCTGGGTGGAGGGCTGAGGGGCGGCAGGGATGGAAGGAGCGGGGAGGTGAGGGAGGATCCAGGAGCACGTTTAATCAGGTCCTGAGTGTTGAGTGGAGTTGGTCAGTGAGAAAATGCGGGCAGGCAAAGTGAGTGACACACGCACACAGCAACGCCCTCGAAGACCCCCGGGTCCCCTGTAGGGCTCCTGGAAGCCAGCGACCACCCCCAAAACTGAGTCTCTCCACGACCACCCGACATAGCGCCTCTGTCAAAGGTTTCCACCCGCACCCCCTCAAACACCCTCCAACAAGCCCCCTCCAGGCTCTGTTCAAGCAGATGCCACAAAACCCATCCCCTGGGGCTCCCCCTTCAGCCTTCCTGAAGACCCTTCAGGAGGACCCTGGAGCCGCATTCCTTGCCCCAGTCACCCCCAGGAGCAGACCGGGATTTGCAGCCCGGCTCCCAAAGACACCGGGGCAGTTCATCCACCTCTCTAACCTTCAGTTTCCGCCTCTGAGAAATGAAAATGATAACGGTGCTTCTTATTAAATATGCAGAAAATGGTAGCGTTGACTAGGTCCTAATGCAAAGCCTCCCAGTGCAGACTCAAATTCTGCCAGGCCCTGTTGCAGGAGCTGGAGATACAGAGGTGGCCCCCAAACCCATCATACCTATGTCTCAGACTGAGATTGGGAAGGAGACTAGAAGAGGCTAGACTCCAGGGTCTCCCCTGCAGAGGATTGCCAGGGCTGTGCATCCCCTCAGATTCCCCCAAGGCTACCCTTATGGTAGCTGCTGACTCACTTCATTTATCATCTCCGCAGCGCCCCTAAGACCCCTCTGATGGCCCCCAATAAAAGTTTCAGATGTCTCTGACCACCCAGTTCTCCTGGATCCTACAAAGACCTCATCCCACTCCAGAACCTTCTCAAACTTCTGCCTTCAGACACCTCAATAATAACCCACGATCCTCCCAAGCTATCTCAAAGACACCAGTTGGAAAGTCTCAGAACCCTCCAGCTTCTCTGACACCGATAATGGCCCCGTCCCACTCCACCACTTCCCACTCCATCACTTTCCCAGAGCCTGGTGAGCGTTTCAATAATAACCTCAAAATGCCAGCACCCAGGGATTTTGACGACCCCAGTGACCAGCTTGTCACATGTACCACGACCTTCCAGGGCTCTCCAACCCTGCCACACCCATCCCCCCACAACGTCTATCTCACACCAGCGGTCCCCATGACCGGCTCAGACACCCCGACGATGGTCACGTACCACTCCGCGAGATTCCCAGTCCCCATGGGACCCCCTCGGACTGCTCCCAGTGACCCTATGACCTCTCTGCGCCCTGTGAGTTAGTCCGACACCCCCACAAAGTCTACCTTGTACGAGAGCCCCTGAGCGTCCCAAGGCATCCCCAGACACCCCGACGATGACCACTGCCACCCCGCGAGATCCGCTGCCCCTCCAGGACGCCCTCGGAAAGCCCCCAGTGACCCCACGGCCTCCCTGCGCCCTCCGCCCTGGGGACCCGACCAGCGCTCACCAGTGGCACCACCGATACTGGTGGTGGCGTAGGCCTTGTGGTGGCACTCGGTACCTTCGGGGATGTCCCAGTACTGGTGAAGAAGCGTCTTAGCCATGACGGAACACCCCGGGCCCCGCACCGCAAGACCCCACGGCTCCCAGCGCCCAAGGGCGGACGCCGCTGACTCTCGCGAGACTTGCTGGGCGGCGCGCTCAGCCTCTCTTGCGGGCGAGACGGCAACAAGCGAGCAACTTTATTGAGCGCCGCGGAGGTGGACACGGGTCGCGCTCAAGCGCTTGGAATCGGGACTGGCGTAGAGGAAGAGCGCGTGCAGCCCTGGCCGACTTCTGGAGGGGGAAACTGAGGCCGACCAGGATCAGTGAAGGCAGATGTCGCTAGTTCAGCTCAGAAGGTCGTGGGTCAGGAGTGGTTTGACTCCCGGAGGTGGGGCCTAACTAGGGGCGGGACTATCAAAGGTACTAGGCCTATCCACAGGCACAGACGAGACCGCGGGGCCGTACTCCACTTGATAGGAGACAGACGTCATTATGGGGCGGGACGTGGCGGGATGTGGCCACTCCCAGCGCCCGAATCTGTGGGGAGGCTTGGTTACGCCCAGTGGCCAGTCTTAACCCAGAGTCTGAACAGCGTGCGACTATTTGGGGGCGTGGTCAGGCTCAGGGGCTTAACGAGAAAGTGTCCAATCCCAGTGCTCGGATTCTTAGCACGATGTGGTCTGTGCTTAGTTTGTGGCTAGTCCAACCCCTGGGCGGGATGAAGAATGCTCTAGGCTTGGGGCGTGGCCAGAGCCCAAACATAACCTGAAGGCTTGTGGGCCTGACCAACCCGGCGTTAGCTTCTAAGTTGGGGGGGGGGGTGGTTGGTCCTGTCTCGAGGGAATGACCAATCCTGCTGCCAGAGCCCGAACTGGGGCGCCACCAGAGGACAAGGCCAACCTGGGGGCGTGGTTTGTTAAGACCTTGGCCAATCTTGGAGTTAGGCCCGGCTCAGGGGTGGAGTTTCGAGTTGCCGGAACCAGCGAGGGTGTTCGAGTTTGAGGAGGGCGAGACCCAGCCCTGGAGGCGGAGCCTAGCAGTGATCGCGGCCAATCACGCCGAAGCCCTGAACGGACCGCTGGGGGCGTGGCCCCGTGGGCGCGGCCAGGACCGGTTCCGGGCCGCCCGTGGGCGTGGCCGGGCCTGCACCGCGGCGGGGCCATGTCAGCGCCGCCGCCCTTGCAGATCCGCGAGGCGAACGCACACCTGGCTGCGGTACACCGGCGCGCGGCGGAGCTGGAGGCCCGGCTGGACGCGGCCGAGCGCACGGTGCGCACCCAGGCCGAGCGCCTGGCCCGCCACGACCAGCAGCTGCGCGCCGCCCTAGACGAGCTGGGCCGCGCCAAGGACCGGTGAGGCTCGGGGCCGGCCACATGGACTTCTCGGAGGAGGTGGGCGGAGGCAGAGCCGAGACTGGAAAGGAGGACCGGCAGGGGAAATCGTGTGCATTCACGTGGAGCCGGACTACTGGTGGGATTGGAAAAACAAACACCAAAATACTTGACTTAGTTTTCACTATGTAAAGTTGAGAGGTATCATACAAGTGTGGGTATCTAACTTAAACAGGGTCCATTTTACCACTAGGCAAAATCGGCTGGTCCTGAGTGGTGCAGGGACCACCAGCCGCCTGATGTAGGTACTGGAGCCATGGCAGGTTCTTGAGGAGGGGAGGATGGGATGATATCAGCAGTTTTGAAGAGTCCCTCTAGCTGAGGGTTGAAAGGGATGAGACAAGTGCCCAGGGAGGAAGGTGGTGCTGAGGACCGGGTGGGAAAAAATTCAGAGCTGGTTGGATTCATTACTTCATCTTTACTGAGCATCTACTATGGGCCAGGCACTGTGCTGGGTATTAGGGCACATCAGTAAGACCTATGCAGCCCTGCCCTCAAGCAGACACATTGTTAGGCAGTTCCAATATGGGGTGATTGGGTGTGTGTGATGGAGGGCCACACGGCTCTGAGGGGGCCCAGAGGGAAGGCTTCCTGGAGGGGGAGCCATCTAAGCTGAACAACAAATAGGAAAAGAGGTAGGGGACAAGGGAACTGCAGGAAGAGCTACAGGGATGGATGAGAGAGTGTGTTAGTCTGCTGAGGTTGCCGTTAAAGAATACCACAGACTGGGTGGCTTAAACAACAGCAAATCATTTCTCACAGTTCTGCAGGCTGGGAAATCCAAGATCAAGGTACTGACAGATGCAGTTCCTTGTGAGGGTCCTCTTCCTGGCTTGCAGATGGTCATCTTCTCACTGTGTCCTCACGTGGCACAGAGAGAGAGCAAGCTCTCTGGTGTGTCTCTTACAAGGAAACCCTCATGACCTCATCTAAACTTACCTCTCAAGGCCTCATCTCCAAGTACTATCACATTGTGGCATAAGGATTCAATATATGAATTCGGGGGAGGGACACAGACATTCAGTCCATAATAGGGGGACTTTATCCTGACAGGGATGGAGGTCGGGAGCAGGGGAAGAGAACCTCTGGCTCCCCCGTGCCATAACTGCCCCGTGTTGCCTTCCTGCCAGTGAGATTGCCGCTCTCCAGGAGCAGCTGTTGACCTCCGAGGCTACTGTCCAGAGTCTGCAGGCTGCCGTGTGCCGGAGGGACAAGCTCATCAGGCAGCTGCAGCCCCGGGCTGAACTGCTGCAGGACATCTGCCGCCGCCGGCCACCCCTGGCTGGGCTGATGGCCACCCTGGCTGAGGCTGAGCGCCTGGGGCCCTTGCCGGCCAGTGTCCCCAGTCACCCACTCCCTGGTGGGCCCAGTTCACACCTTGCCAACAGTACTGGGGAGGAAGAGGACAGGGACCACCTCCAGCCTGCTGTGTTGGGGACCACTGTGTGAGTCCCAGAGTAGATTCCAGGATGGAGAAAGAGGACCCCTACGGGGACTTTTTCCACTGCTGTGGGTGTGCTTGGGGGTCACCAGTACCCCAGAGAGGACCCCGTGGCAGAGCCATAATCCTGTCCAAACGTCAGAACCTGCTAAAGAGTCATAGGTTTCAAATGGGCGGCCTACAGGAACAAATGCAGATGTTGAACCCGGAGAGAAGTGTTTGTTTTTTTAAAAACAAAACTTTGAATCAATCAATCACCCTTGTTGGAGAACTGGCAGTGCTGACACAAAAATCTGGATTTCTAGCTTCGGACTGGGCCGTGCCTGCCTGGATCTGAGTCCAGGGCACCCTCTTCAGTGAGTGTGAGTTTCAGGCCCCACATGTCTCTTAGGGCCAGATGTCTGGCCCCTGAAGCATCTGAGTTTGAGACCTCTCTTTTTCCGGTGGAGGCGGATGATTTGAGTTTCTCTCCCTTTTCCCCTTGCCCTGATTTTTGTTCGTCCCGAAGCATTCCCCATCCTAAAGCTTTTTCTTATTCTCATCTCAGTCCAGAATTGTGAGCCTCAACCCTCAGGCCATTTTGCATTGGTTATATGAAGACAAAGTTTTAATCCTAGATTTTTTTCCCCCCAAACTCTATCCTTCCCTCAACGCAGGGAAGAGTGTGTGCGTGTGTGATGTGCTGAGATGTCTGCAGCCAGGCTTTGCTGCCCAGGCAAACTCGGGCACCCCATAAGCTTTTCTTGATAGCGTCCTGCCTCAGGGTCTTGACACTGGCTGTTCCCTCCGCCTAGAATGCACTTCCCCCAGCTGTCACATGACTAGCTCCTTGTCACTCAGGTCTTTGCTCAAACGTCACGTCCTCCCAGAGGCCTTCCCTGACCACCTTATTGGAAGTCATTCTTCTCCACTCCACCCCCACTGCCTCATTTGATTTTCTTTATGTAACTTCTTACCGTCAGAGTGGAAGCTCCATGGGGGCAGGGTTTTTGTTCTCTGTCACCAGTGGCAGGCACACTCTGGGACCCCGGTAGGAACAGGATGGGTCTATGGGCCCTGAAGAGAGCCAGGGACCCCAGCACATCCCATGAGGCGCCCCGGCCAGTGTAGCTTTTGTAGCAGCAGCTGGCTCCTTTTTATATTCCTTAGAGAATCTATTTTTTCACTCCTTATTTCTATGCTGCCCTTCTTGGCCCAAGATATTCGGGGTGCTTTTTTTTTTAAAATCAAAACAGGGAACCCTGTGCCCTTCTCTGCCCAGGCCAAGTGCCTGGCCTGGTACCATGGTAGCTTTTTACCGCCTCCTGACTCAGGGAATGGTCATACCAGGAACCATGGCGGGGCACAGCCCCTTTCAGCCCGGAAGGCTCAGCGTCCACCCTCAGCCCTCAGGATGGGGCCGCCTGGCATCTCACAGTGACCCCTCAGTGTGGCAACAATGGCCCGGTTTTCTCCTTTGGACGAACAGGGGTTGGAGGGTGCTGTTTGTACGAGGCGAAGGCAGGCTGGCGCCTGTCGGAGCTCAAGAATAAACCAAATGATTTCATGGCATTGGTCCTTCCTCCTTTCTTCCTGGTGGGGGAGCTGGAGGGGGGCTGCTGTGCTGCTCCTGGTCCAGGGTGGGGCCCCGCTGGGTGCGGAGACACAAGTTACAGCCCCGGGAGCTTGTGCCAGGCACTCCACACACACGGTTGTGTCTCATCTCCTCAGACAACTATGCACACAGGCATCACCCCATTCTACAGCTGTGCAAAGCAAGGCTCAAGAGAGGTAAAGTGAAAAGGGCCTCTGGGTCGGAAGGGCCCTGGCCACTTCCAATTTTTTATTGTTGAAATTCTGATTCTCTTAAAAATGTGGAGATGCCCAAACAGAGCTACAATAGTTGTGGTTACATTCTACATTTTTCTATATCTATAAAAAAAAATCCAACATTTGTAACCCTCATAAAAATACACAATGGAGTATTTCTTTGCCTATGTAAAGAATTTTGGACTGCAGCAAGCCACAAGAATTTCTGCAGCAGAGTGCCACTGCAGTTTCTCATAAAACTGATGGTGTTGCAATCAGCTGTAGCTTGAATCGCAGCGCCGGGTGGCTTGTGATCCACGGCTTGGCTTCTGACTGTGGCAGCAACTTTCGACAATACCACTGTGCTGTGTGCAACTGCAAGCTTTGAAAAGCTTCTGATGATCTCTGGGTCTCTGCGGGTGGTGGCGTCCCCAGACGGGGGCCCACGTTTTTAGTCCTGGGAAATCCATTATCATTTTCAATCCTGACTGTTGGTGTAACGCTCTCGGTTGGCAAGATGTCCAAAGTCTCGACAGAAGGCATTCAGTGATGGCAGCCTTGGTTCCTCTTGGATTACGGATGTCAGGGGTCAGGGTCGCTTCTCCGGCCGGTACTGGAGCCCCTGGCTCAGCGGCTTGTCATGAATGAGCCAGCCCACCAAGTGATGTTTGAGACCTGGAAACCAACCACCAGGTGACCCATATTGACTGGCCCTAAGTAACTACCAGGAATTGCTTTGTTCAAGTCAACGTTGATGTCTGTAGGACCCAGCTGTGAGCACCACCTGCTGGACAGGGGCCTGGGTCACCTCGAGTCCTTTAAAATTGGATCCCTCAGCAGCTTTGGCTGCGGCCGTGTGAAAAGGGGCTGGTGGCTGGTGAAGCCCAGAGAAGGGAGGGGACCTGCTCCAGCTCACACAGGAATTGGGCCTTGCCTCCCTCCATCCAGGACACTGGTCCCCACAGGGCTGTGGCCCACCCTTCCTCCTTGTGGTTAGGAAGCGACCCCCCCCCCCCCCCCCACCACCTGGGCCTGGCTTTATCCCAGGACCTGGGCACTGCAGGGAGTAAGCGAGGACAGCAGGTGGACAGCGGCGGCAGCCAACAGCACTGCCCTGTGCCTCTCGGCCCGCCATATGCCCCCACAGGGCCATGCTGAGGGCCATGAGGCTCTGGTGCCTAGAGAGTTACAGCTGGGGCCCCTCCCAGTCTCCAGGGTACCGTCCCTTAGCAACAGCCCGGCCCGGCAGGACACACTGCCAACGCTGGGCAGAGCAGGCAGAAGGCAGAAGGCAGGCGGAGCAGCTAACCGGACTCCAGGACAGACGAAGGCCAGGTGAGTGAGCGGGGGCACCTGGCCTGCAGCCTGGTTGCCGAGCGGGAGCCCCTCCAGATCTCTCTCCCATCCAGCAGCCCAGGGAGCCCTGACCCATCATGGATGCTGTGGACGCCACCATGGAGAAGCTCCGGGCCCAGTGCCTGTCCCGAGGGGCCTCAGGCATCCAGGGTCTGGCCAGGTGAGCTGTCCCCTCACACCTCCCCAACCCCCCGGATCACTTTCCAACCACGCTCCCTGCCCACGCCCCCTGCCCCCCAGGTTTTTCCGCCGCATGGACCGGGACAGGAGCCGGTCCCTGGACGCAGGGGAGCTCCAGCGGGGCCTGGCCGAGCTGGGGCTGGTGCTGGACACAGCCGAGGCGCAGGGCGTGTGCAGGCGCTGGGACCGTGACGGCAGTGGGACGCTGGACCTGGAGGAGTTCCTGCGGGCACTGCGGGTGAGGCCGGGCGCTCGACCGCGCGTGAGTCCCTCCACCCTGTCGTCCGGGGGTGCCAAGTCCTTGTGGGCTTATCCACATCGGTGTGGGGACTCGGGGGACCTCCCGAGCTCCACCCCCCCAGTCACCACCTCCCCCCAGCCCCCCATGTCCCAGGTCCGGGAGGCAGTCATCACAGCCGCGTTCGCCAAGCTGGACCGCAGCGGGGACGGCGTGGTGACTGTGGATGACCTCCGGGGGGTGTACAGCGGCCGCGCCCACCCCAGGGTGCGGAGCGGGGAGTGGACGGAGGAGGAGGTGCTCCGCCGCTTCCTGGACAACTTTGACTCCTCCGAGAAGGACGGGCAGGTGGGTGCGCGGGTACCACCCCCTCTGCCCACGCCTGCGGTCCCCCCTGACAGCCCATCTGCCCCCAGGTCACGCTGGCCGAGTTCCAGGACTACTACAGTGGCGTGAGCGCCTCTGTGGACACGGATGAGGAGTTTGTGGCCATGATGACCAGCGCCTGGCGGCTGTGAGCGGTGCACACCCACTCGGCTGGCACCATGCAGCGTAGGGCCCCACCCGGCACCCCTGGGTCAGGGCCCCTCTCACCTGGGCTTTGAGCTGAGCAGCCCCGGGGTGGGGGATGGAGGGGATTGTGGGAAGATTGAGGCCGCAGAACCGGCTGGACCAGGTCTCCAGGGACACGGCTTGGCCACCAGGTGTCAGTGGGACAAAGGTTCCAACGATGGGTCACTGGTTCAGGAGCCCAGGGAGTGAGACCCTCCATGCCCACGCCATGCCGACCCCAGGTCTCCTCCTGGGTCTGCTCAAGTGAACCCTGTCAGCACCCTCACCCCTCCCTCGTGACTCCCCCAGGAAGCCAGGCAGCGCCCGGGTGGGGAAGCAAACTGCTCTTCTGTGACGCAAGGCTCTGCACGGAGCGGCCGGTCTTGGAAGGCAGCCGAGCTTGGTCACCTGCCCAGGTGTGGAGTGCGGGGCAAGCCAGGCTGCTGAGGAACCGTTCCTGGCCAGGTTGCCTGGCTTCCTGAGGCCCCTGGGGCATGCGGGAGGCCAGAGTTTTAGTTAAAAGTTTTAATGTAGTTCCCAAATACATTTCATATGACAATCTTACATAAATGTTCCAAAACACATGGGCGTTATCTGGTTTTACTTGTCACTAGTTGGCTAAGGCTTAAAGCAGAGAAGTGTGATCGGATCTGCTGGGAGGGCCTTTGGTGTCGTCCCGTGGCTCAGGCTGCGGACGCAGATGCGGGCTGCACAGGCCACCCTGAGGTGTGGGCGGCACAGCTCAGACGGGCCTCCCCCTCACCCTGTGAGGGCCCTGTGCACAGAGGCCTCCTCTGCGGGCCCCGCCAGGCGGGCGGCACCCAGCTGGCTCTTGGCCACGCTATGGGGTGGGGCGGGCAGAGGGCGCCGCTCCTGTGTGTGCTGCGAGCATGGGTTCTGCCCGTTGTCTGGAACCGGTCCGCTCGCTGCCCCCTCCTTGAAGGCCCTGCCAGGGTCCCCCTCTGCCTCTCACAGAGGCCCCCAGCCCTCGACGGTCTTGGGGGCAGAGATGTCCAGGGCTGGGCAAGGAAGGAACGGCCAACAGCAGGAAGCAGGTTTTGCACCTGGGTGCCTGATGACGGGTGACCCATGTTATGGGGACAGACAGGAGGATGGGGGGGAGCCCTCCCACGCCCTCCCACGCCCTCCCATGCCCAGTGACCCTTTTCTAGATAGGCTCTCCAGGCCCAGGGCCCAACCCCTCCGCACCCCACGACTTGGCCTGGAGGAACCCCAGGTGGGGAGCACCCCCAGCATGGGGGCCGGGGCCACAGGGGGAACGAGGACGCAGCCCACGACGGAGCCGTGCCTGCTCAACACACAGAAGAGAAGCGCCTCGATCTAGGAAACCAAATACAAAGCCTTGGGGGGGAAAGAAAAGGTCTAAAAATAAACCCCCCCAAATCAGAACGTGGGAGCTGGGAGGTAAAGACAGTAGTAACAGAAGGTCCAGCAGGCCCAGCGTGACACTGTGTGGACAGACCCGGTGCCCGGGCAGGTGGAGGCGGGGAGAGCCGGCGACACGACGAGGGTGGGGTGAAGAAACGAGGGGTCCCAGTCCCAGTGAGAAGCCGTGACAAGTCTTAATGTGCCATTTCAATTCAAGGTGGGGAGGGAAGAAATGTTCTTTTTCGTTTTGCTCATCAATATGATGAGGTTCGTGTCCCAAACCACATTCAGGCAGTTCCCGAGTCTGCTTCTGAACGGGACGTGCGGATCCAGACTGTGGCCACCCAGCGGGGAGTGTGGTTCCCGAGCCCCGCGCCTCGACGCTGCCGGAGGGAGGGGCGGGCGGGCGGGCAGACAGACGGACAAAGCAGCAGGCTCGTGGGCAGCCGGCTCCCGGCGCTATGTGCTCCCGGCCGTCTGCCCGTCCCCTTCGTCGCCAGCGCCTGTGGGGAGCGGTGGCCTGGCCGTCAGGTGTCTGCCCTGGACACAGCCCCACCCCTTGGGTCAGCCCCGGGACCCCTGGCTCACCGCCTCCGGTGGCCCCCGACGGGGCCAGGACGTCGTCGTCGTCGCTGTCGTCCTCGTTGGACGGGGCCGCCCCAGGCTCGGGGGCCGGCGTCCTGGCCTCCTGCTCCTGCTCCACGTGGCTGCGCAGGGCCAGGATGCGGTGGTGCAGGGCCGCATACAGCTGGCCCGTGTCCTTGGAGCTGGCCTGGTGGAGGCAGAGGGGAGGGCCAGGTTACAAGGCCTCACGGGGAGACCCCTCCTCAGGTGACGTGGCCACAGCCCCTGCCGTAATGGGATGTCCCAGCTCCCGGGCTGGACTGGGGAGGAGCCTGACCTCTCTCCTCGACAAACCCGGGGACAGCAGACCAAAGCTCCCCCAGGTCCAGGGCCTGTCCTCCCGAGGGGTCCACAGAGCCTGGGCCGGGCCAGCCTTCGGTGAGCCATCCCGACCCTGGAGGCCTCCTACTCTCCCCGGCCAGGCCCTCAGTGCAGGGCTCTGAGTGCTAGGCATGGGGCTGCCCTGCCCTCGTCTGGGGGCTGTTTGGACAGCTTTGTTCCCCGAGAGGCCGGGGGCAGCCCAGCCCGTCCCTGGGGCTGCTCACCGAGATCAGGAAGACCTTCACGCCCTGGTCCTCCGTGTCCATGGCTGTGATGCGGATGCTCTTCTCACTGGCCTTGTCCATCTGCATCTGGGCCCACAGCTTGGTGTTGAGGATCAGCCGCAGGCTGCCCTGGGTCCGCATCACTGCAACCAACGAGGCCATCAGCTCTGCCCCCCACCCCTCGACGAAGCCGCTACGAGAACAGACACAATCTGCAGGAAAGCCAATACCCCCAGGGTGAAATCCCACAATCCCCCCAAGGTCCACGAAAGCCTCCTGTCTGTTGAGCGGCAGCCCTGGCAACCCCCCACCCCTGGCGGCACATCCAGTGGGTGGAGCTGGTGCCAGGACGGCGGCTCCCCTGGGGAAGGGGCTGGTCAGGCGGCAGCAGGAGGCGGAGGTGGGTCTGCACACTGGGGACACGTCACACGAAGTCTACGCCCCCTGACTGTCGCCACCCACAGGCCAAGGCGCAGCTCCTGCCCCATGAAAAGGAGCTAACTGCTTAGAGGAAGCATCAGGGCTGACCGCTGCTCAGAGCCTCCATCAGGAGGGAGACAAAGGTAGACTGAGGGCAGCACACAGTGGAGAAGAACAGGGGACAGGCCTCTCCTCTCTGGAAATGTGTGTGAGACCACGAGTTCCACCCACAGCGGGCCCAAGGCCAATGTTGTCCTGCTCAATTTGTCCGAGCCTACCCACCCTGCCCGAGCCCCAACCCCATGGACACAGGTGAGCCCTGGCCTTCCTGCCAGCCCGGCCCTCCCCACTGGAAAACCCGGAGCAGATTACAAGCGGTCACCCCAATCTGGGTGACCCTCACCCCCTCCAGCCCTCTGGGCCCGGCCTCACAGCCCAACCCACCCCCCGAGGTGGACTTGGAGGGAAGGAAGGTCAATGCCAAGGATCAAAGGCTGCGTGGGGTGAAAGGAGACGATGGCCGGGAAGGATCTCAACAAGGGAGGGGGCAGTGCAATTACGAGGCTGGTCACAGGCTGATGACCTAGGGGCAGAACCACGAGCCGCGGGGGCTCAAAATCCTGCGCCCTCTCTGTCCAGATACACTTGCACGTTTCCATTAGGGAAAATGAAAAAGAACAGTGCCCGAACAGAAGCCCAAGTGCATAAAAACAGTGCCGAAAAGACGCAGCATGAGCTACGCCTGGGCCAGGAATGGACGTTTCCGTAAAGGCCGCAGGACAATTTTAACTGGGGAGGATTAAAACAACAAAACAAAACAAACAAAAAAATGAACACACACGTTTCACATATATACAAACATGCCCGCACACACATCCGTTCTGTAACAAGCGTACTTCCGGGAATAAGATTCACGTGTAGATGGCCCCAGTAGCATTACTTACAAGTCAAAAACAATTAGAAACAACCTACATGTCCGTCAGCAGGGAAACGGCTGAATACACTCACGGCCGATGGAATGTTAATTCATACAGAAGCTTTTCAAAAACAGTCATATTTTAGGGAAAATTTAACAACACAGGAACACGCCCACAAAACGGCAAGTGAAAAGAGCAAGAGACAAAGTCACCCCACTTCCTTAACAAAGATCCACAGAACAGGAATGGACCGCCAAGACAGTCTTGGCAGACAGAGATCTCCCTCTTTTTGTAAAGAGATTTTCGTTGATGTTTGATTTCTTTGTTTACTCACCACGAAACAACTGACACTTTATAAGAAAATACGTTTGAAAATGGCTAAATCCTTTCATCCACTTTCACGATCAGGAAGAGGAACATCACAGAAGGGCTGGCGGCTGGAGCCTCTGGGCCAGGCCGGGTCCCGCAGGCTGAGGGCCGGCTGTGGGTGCAGACAGGGAGCCCCGCCGCGCCCCAGGCTCCTCCATAGAAACCTGGCCGAAGCTCACCTAGTCGGGACTGCAACGTCCCATCGTCAGTCGATGCCATGTCGTTGAGTCTGAGCAGCCCCCGGCCTCTCTCCACCCACGACTGCGAGGTCTTGTCAAAGACAAACAGCTTACACTGGATCTGGAACACAAGGTGGCCCTCTGGGTGAGCAGGGACCCTGGCCGGCAGACAGACCCCGGGAGCGTGCAGGGAACCCGCGATGAACCAGCAGGGTCAACGAACTATGGTCTGGGGGACACGTCTGGCCCTTGGCCACTTTTCTGTCCTGCCCTCGAACTAGAATGGACTTTACATCTTTAGAGGAGTATTAAAAAAAAATAATCATTAAGGAAATGCACATCAAAACCACAATGAGATACCACTTCACACCCACTAGGATAGTAATAACCAAAAGGACAGATGACAACAGGTATTGGAGGATCTGGAGAAATCAGAACCCTCACACCTTGCTAATGGGGATGGAAAATGGGGCAGCCACAGTGGAAAACTGTTCTCCAACACATTAAACGTGGAGTTATCATATGGCCCAGAAATTCCACTCCTAGGTATCTACCCACGAGAAGTGAAGCACGTGTTCACATAGAAACTATTACGTGAATGTTCACAGAGCATCATTCTTAATACCTCAGAAGTGGAAACAAACCAAGCGCCCACCAGCAAGTGACTGGCTAAACAAATGTGGGCTACCAATACAGTGGACTGTTATTCAGCCTTGAAGAGGAGTGAAGCGCCGACACACGGTCCACCAGGGATGAACCTCGAAAATGTGGACACGAAAGGCCACATGTTGTACGATCCCATTCACGTGAAATGTCCACAACAGGCAAATCCATGGAAACAGAAAGTGGGGTTGCCTGGGGCTGCAGGAAGGGGGATGGGCAGTGACTGCTCATGGGCACAAGGCTTCTTTTTGGGGGGGCAAAAATGTTCTAAATTAGTGAATACAGTAAAAACCACTGAACTGTACGCTTTAAAAGGGTGAATTTCATAGTATGTGCACTGTACCTCAATAAAGTTGTTATACAAAAAAAAATGCAAGAGAGACCACACGTGGCCCTTTACAGAAAAAGTTTGCAGATCTTTTAAGTCAGTATCTCTCAAGATAGATAGATAAGAAAAACTGTGAGTGGGGGAAAAAAGTACCACTAAAAACCCCACATTAAAAACTCCCCAAAGCCACATATATGTGGTTTATAGACACACACGCAGGTATGTGTGAAAGGACGAAGGGCAGATGGAGCCCCACCACGCTGGACGTGCTGCCCCAGGAGGGGAGGGAGATGGGACGGGGCACGGGTGCCATGAAGTCTGGTCTAAGAAAAGAACACAGCACCACCGGGACAAAATAATCACAGCTGTTGACTCTGGGTGGCAAGAGGTGTTTGTTACACGTCTTTGTAGTTCCCTGAATTATCGAGACTGTCTCAGAACAGACCGTTTTGCTCTAAAACAGAGCAGTACAAGAAGTCCGCTAGCCGCACCGACGGGTCCCAGAGGCCGGGCGCGCCTCACCTGCAGCACGTTGCTTTCGGCCTCCTCCCCGGTGATCACCTCCACCTTTTCCAGCAAGCACTTCCGCGCTGTCGCCTTGGTGTAGGCGGCCGCCGACTCGGCCAGCGACTCTGCAATGTTATTAGCTAAACGACATTGACTATTGATTTGGTCAGGGGGAGGGTGTACCTCACAGGACACCCAAAGGGTGGCTCTGGCCTCAAGGGGGCCAGTGCCTCGGGCCCACAGCGGACCCTGGCAACGCACCACGTAACTCTGCCTCGGAGTCTGCTGGGCGGCCACCGGGAGCGGCCAGTGCAGCTGCGGCCTCCCACTCTCCCACGCAGGCGAGGAGGGCAGACAGCGAGAGACCTCCGAGGGCGCTGAGGAGCGTCTGCCGCCTCAGGGCGAGGAGGAGGGCGACAACCACCTCAACCCCATCCTGGTCACCAGGCAGGGCCCCGGGCCTCGCCCCCCTCCTGCTCACTGGACAGCCAGCACGCATGGCTGTGGGCTGTGCCCGAGGGTGGTTCACAGCGTCCCCGCCCCTCCCTGTCTCCCGGACGCCCCCGGGAGAGGGCAGGACCGAGGCCTACCTTTCTCGGGGGTGGCCTCCTGGGACGAGGACTCGGACCCGGACTCGGCCACTGTGTTTTCTCTGTTGGCATCCGGGCTGACCTCGTTTAACTTGGGCGGGCTCTGCGGGGAACGAAGGCGCACAGGAGGAGGGGGCGTGGGGGGTGGTCCCGGGGGCCGACCGCTGCAGGACAGGGAACCCCTCTGCCGGGAGGCAGCTCCTGGCGCCCCCCGCCCAGCAGAGGACCCCCTCTGCCGACGCTGGCCTCCCTCCCGCACTCTGGGGACCCGCCCAGCCCCAGCCCATGCGCACTCAGCGCCTGCTGAGCAGCATCAGAGACAGGCGGTCCTCAGTCCTCACAGGCCCGCCCGGACGCGCACGCGAGCCGCCTCTGGAGCCTCTGTGGCGTCACCTGGAGGTGTGTGCCACCAGCCGACCTTGGGCCACCTGGTCCCCCTGGCCCGTGAAAGAGTTCTTTGCCTACTTCATCGTAATTGAAAAAGGACAGTACTGACGCTCAAGAAAAGAAGCAGGCGGCTCCTTAGTGAAACAAACACTGAGACCAAGACGGCAGGAATCAGGTGGGCCCCAAACAGCGCCTGAGCTGCCCTCACAGTGGACACAGCGGGGCTGTGTGTAATGATTGGGAAAGAAAAGGAAGAAAGAGAAGGAAGCGGGTAACGACCCTAGAAGCCCATCCCGGGCTGGCTGGGCTCTCTGGGACCAGGATGTGGCCCGCGGTCAGCCACGTGCCTCAGCCGTGGTGTGTCAGGAGTGCAGGGGACACTGGAGACCCTGCAGGGTTGCCCCCTCGCCCCCCACTCTGTGCTGCAGCCTCACGGTGGCGATGGGGCTGCCCTCCCTTGGCTTCAGAGGTGGCACAGGGTGGTCCCGGCCCACATGGCTAAGGAGTCTGGCCTGACGGCTGTCACCGCACCTGCCCTTAGCTGGGAGGAAGCGCGGCCCGTGACTCAAGGGAAGCCCCTCTCAGGACAAGGAAGGACAGGATGCGCGACACTGGCTCCTACAGAGCCTCCCTAGGCCACCAGCGCCGCCCCCCGTTTAAGCTGAGTCTGAGCTGGGTCTTCTTTCTCTTACTTGGAAAAGAAAACATTCTAATTTCACAGGACTCAAGGCAGCAGCCACACCCGACGTGTCCCGGCGACCTGCGGGAGGCTCCGAGAGCCTTCCAGGCCCTGGGCAGGACAGTCCCCACGGGGGTCACTCACCAACACGCGCTCACTCATGTTCTGGCCAAATATGAATTTGCTGCTGGCGGCGTCGGCACTGTTGGCTGAGCTCTCTAAACTGAAGAGGAGACACACTGTGAGCGCAGGGTGGCACAGGGCCAGGCAGTGTGCACGCCCACATGCGCGGCACACACACACGGTCGCACGGTCGAGGCCCTGCTCCGCCTCGGGCTGGGCTGGTGTGCCAGGGACAGGTACCCGCAGGCCTCCATGCCAGCCCTCTCCAGGCGGCAAACACAGACCCTTGGCTCGCACCGCCTGGCACCAACTGCACACGGGCGCCGTGTGACACACCAGATGCCCGTCTTCCCCAACCCCCAGGAGGTGGGCAGCACCACACAGAGGCTGAGCGCAGGGGCGTTCCGTCCACTCCCAGCAGACAAACCCGGCTGTCTCTTGCCAGTGGGCTGCCCCCGGGAGGCACTGCAGCTCTCTGGGTCCCTCCCCAGGCCTGCACCAAGGAGGTGATGCCTCCTATGGGGTGGCCGGCAGGTGACACAGGATGACCTTTGGGGAGCGCTCAGCAAACGGCAGCTGCCCTGGCGGTCACACTTCATCCGTTTTAAGACATCACAGGCTGCACGTGCCTCCCAATTTGGGAAGCACTCAGGTGCAAAAAATGCGTCTTAAAATATCTGATGCACTCTGCTAACCGGGGGCCAGGCAGCCAAGCAGCGAGGTCACTGTTCCCATCGGGCCTCTCCGAGGTGGGAGCCCGCACGGCGCCTGCTCTCCTGGCCCATCTCCCAGGCAGGGACGAGCCTTCCTTCTCAAACACCCCGGCAGCCAGGCTGTTGGCAAGTGCCACCACCAGTAGCGCCAACGGCGAGCCCAGATCCAGGGCAGGGAGCACCTGGTGACAGGAGACAGCCGAGCTGTCACTGGCCCACCGGGTTCTGTTCTGGGCACGAGGCCCGGGTGACAGAGGTCACTCCCGGGGCTGGGCTGAACAAGCCCACGGGACTGGGGTCCTGCCTTAGATGTCTGCTGAAGCCCACCATCCCAGCCCCTCCACATCTGTGTCCAGAGCGGAAAAGAGGGAGGGGCTGCACGGTGACTGGGATTCTGGCTGCACGTGCCCTTGCCCTCCCGAGGAAGGACTGGGCTGGCTCCTGGTGCAGGAGGGTCCAGGCTTCTCTGGGCCCTGAGGCAGGTACCACGGGTGACCACAGGCCCGAGGCGGAGGCTCTCCCCGGACAAGGCTGGGCTCCAGGCCCGAGGCGCAGACCTGGAGCTGATGTACTGAAGGAAGTAGTTGGTGGCGGCTGGCGCTTCTGAACTGGGGTGTCCGGCGTTCTCCATGTCCACTACTTCAGCGTTCTCATTTATTAACTGGGAAACAGAGAGGAAACACTGCTCAGAGAACGGCATGTCCTGGACCTCTGCAGCTCCGCCTGCGTCCACAGGCCCTACGCTGACATGCGGCATGGCTCCGTCTACATGTGTGTACCCTGGGGTGTGGTAAGAGTTAAGATACAAAAACAGTCCATAAGGCACTAGGGAGCCTTTTCTACCTTGTTTTAAAAAAGCACACTCAGGCTGGCACCTTGTTGGCATTTTTATCAATGCTTCTGCACCGAGGAATCACAGGTCGCTTACAAATCTTACATTTTAAGGGGTTCATTATAAACAAAACAGAAGCATCATTTCTCAAGGCTGCTTCTACGCCAACTGCCATGCTAGCCTGGTTAAATACATTCTCCGATGAAACTCTCCCGGGAACGCTGAGAGGTGGGTGTTAGCGACCTTGCTCTGAGTGAGGAAGCAGAGGCTCAGAGCGGTTAAGAAACCACGGCTTTGAGTCGCCCCCCCATTGAGAAGCTGGGATGCAACCATGAGACGCCCGGATCCCCACGAGACATCGTCCCCACCCCAATCTCAAGGCAGTGAGGAACAGACTCGACCTGATGGCTCAGGCCAGGCCCCCGGTCCCCAGCATGGGTGGATTTCCAGGTCCTCCCTGCTGTTGCTTTCTGCTCCCAGGAGGGGGCAGCTGCCAAGGGACTCAATATTTTGCCTAAAGCTGTGCAACATCAACACCTATTCTTGTGTCTCTTGGGGTATGTGTGCTTCTACTGGACCGTGGGCACCAGAGGAGGAAGCTGACGGCGTGGCCTGACATCTCCTCCACACCCGAGACACTCTTGTTTTCTCGTTTCAGGGCTTCTCACCTTTTGCGTTACTGACCCCGGGCGCGGGTGGTTCCCTGAGCGGGGACGGGGGCTTCCTGGGCACTGTGGGGTGTTGGTCAGCATCTCTGGCCTCCACCTACTTAGTATCAGTGGCACCTACCCCCCAGCTGTGGCAATGACAAATGTCCCCAGACACAGCCACTGACACTGCCCCTCAAGCCTCCAGGAGCTTCTTGCCAGATGAGCTGCTGGAAATGGCACAGAGGGACCTTCAGTCCCTGGGGCTGGGACAGGTCTTCCGAGAGGGCCAGCGCGTGGGGTCCAGAACCCAGATCCCCTGCCACTGCCACATGCTCCCCACCCCCGACTCAAAGTCCCCAGACTAGACCAACACACCTGGGGGGCAGCCAGGAGGTGACAGATCCTGTTGCCTCCTGTGGGAGAGAAAACAGTATCTTTCCACCTGCCCTCCTTGAAAAAAACAAGGCGATGGCTCTCAATTGGGGGTGACATGGTCCCACGGGGAACATTCAGAACCGCTAGGGATGCTTTTGGTGGTCGTCACTGGGGGCGGGGAGGGGGTGCTGCTGGCATCTAGAGGGCGGGGGCCGGGGATGCTGCTCAACACCCTACAGTGCGCAGGACGGCCTTCCACAACTAAAGGATCCGGGCTGAACGACGCTAGTGCTGAAAGAAACCCTGAAGTAAGCACAGAAAAATCTCTTTGGTGACCTGGAAAGCATCGGATCCTAATGTCTGCTTGTTCCTTGGCTATAAACACGTCAGCTGTCAGGGCTAAGGTGCCTCTCTCAGCCTGGCTCCTGGAAGAACGAGGGGGCCTGCCGCCAGGAGCCACCGCTCAGCCCCACACTGGCAGGGGTGGGGCAGGGTGGGGGGCAGCCGGCCGGGGTGCTGCCAGGAGTCAGCAGCACAGCACGGAAGGGACGCAACAAGCAGCTGCTGGGCGCTGAGGCCCAGGACCACCCCAGACACGGCCCCCACTCCCCATCCCCGGGCAAATGAACCTGGGGGAGGCGTAAAAAGATCCCTTCACTGGGTCAACAGCTCATCCGGCCTTCCGACCACATACCTTAACTCTGTCCCTCAGGTTCTGCCCGAACACAAACGCCTGCTGTGCAAGCTCCTTCTTCTCGCAGCTCTCCTCAGAAGCACTGCTGGACTCATTTTTCTGCGAGTCTTTCTCCTGGTTAAAACAAGCAAACAGAACAACTGAAAAGAAGCCACACATCAGCCCTGAGAAGCGAGATGAGCCATCTCACACCATTGCATTTGCCTGGCGTGAATCCTGTGGAGCGGGCCCTGGGGTGGGGGACCAGGGAGATGCCCTAGGGCTGGGGGGGACCAGACCTCTCCAGGGAGGGGGAGGGGCGAGGTCTTGGCAGTGACCTCGTCACCGGGAACACTGGGTGGAGACGGTGGGGTGGGGGGTCACGTCCAGGTCTCCCTCCAGCTCAGAGCCCTAGCCACCAGTTTCTGAGAAGCAGTATGCTGTGGGAATGATTCCTTTTTCCAATTCCACTAACTGTGGTTTCAGGGTGGGGGGCTCAGGGACATCTGAAGATTGAATTGGAGATGTTCATTTTCACCATTTGAGCCTGAACATCCGGCGGCGGTATGGCAGCGGGTGGGGGAGGCAGAGGGTGGAGAACCTCAGGCAGCGACCTGTCTGCTGAAACAGGCAGAGTGGAGATAAACACACGGGTGCAATCTGTCTCCGTACGTGGAGCCCTGGATGTGTTGCTGCAACTCGGATTTCAAGTCCGTCTCTGCCAACCGCAAATGCAGGCTCTTCATTAAATGCCCCTTATTTTCAGCTGCTATGCAACGCTACTGGAAAACATATGCATCTGGCCTATATAATCCCAGAACCCTGGAGAACTTTTTTTTTAAAAAACAAACAATTTCTGGGCTTCCCTGGTGGCGCAGTGGTTGAGAATCCGCCTGCCAATGCAGGGGACATGGGTTCGAGCCCTGGTCCGGGAAGATTCCCACATGCCGCGGAGCAACTAAGCCCATGTGCCACAACTACTGAGCCTGCGCTCTAGAGCCCACGAGCCACAACTACTGAGCCCACGTGCCACAGCTATTGAAGTCTGCACGCCTAGAGCCCATGCTCTGTAACGAGAAGCCACCGCAATGAGAGGCCCACGCAACGAAGAGTAGCCCCCGCTTGCTGCAACTAAAAAGAAAGCCTGCGCACAGCAACAAAGACCCAACGCAACCAAAAATACATAAATATATAAAAATAAAAATAAATAAATAAAACAAAGGATTTCTGAGCGAACTCCCAAGCACACTTCTGCCACTAGAAGCAGCACATGTGTATGAACCCCTGAGGAACTGCTCGGCTGTGGAAGAGGGACGGGAGACATCTCTCCAAGTACAGCGGTACAAGGCCCCAACAGACTACGTGCGTGGAAACGAAACAGGCCTTGGGCTATCCGGCCCTAAGTGCCAGAGCCCTGCTCGTGGCCCCTTTCACTCAAAACCAACTGTGGAGTTCTTGGTGGTCTGGTGACCTGGCCAGTCAGTTGTGGTTACACATGGAGACCTCTGAGCAAATCAGGATGCTTTAGCATGGGCCAGCTTGGATACAGCCCAGAGTGGTCAACAGCCCACGCGCCCGGTGAGGCCCTGAGAAGCTTCACGTGCGGTGCACTCCCTGCCCCATTGCCGACGGACCTCAAGTGCTGGTGCCTCGTCAGAGGGACTCCTCCGGGAGGGGTTGTCAGGCGAAGCCGATGTCGCTGCCCCCGGGCAGTCTGCCGGGACACTGACCCCGTTGGTGCCGCTGCTCGGGACTGTGGGGAGAAAAGGACAGCAGACATCTCAGAGGTCAGCCCGGACCACCTTCAGCACCGCTGCCTTCTACCATTTGGGCTGGGAGTGTAATGTCTCCTTCTTAAAGGAAAGGATCTGGAATCAATACAAATTCTTAGGTTAGAAAAACCCAAACCCAAAACTAACACCTCACAAAAGAAAGAATCCTTTATTACTTATTCCACAAAGAACCATGTGAATTTTCAGTTTATTTAGAAATACTACTACTTAGGCGAAAAAAAAAAAGAAAATATATTTGGGGAATAATTATGAGTTTTATAAAACTAGTTTTACTAATAGAGTCTTTTTTCTATGCACTTTCTCCTTTAAACAGTTGAGATTATGTGACATGTACAACTTTAAATCTAGCTTTGTTTAGTATTAGACCAAAACAATTTTCCATGCAATTAAAACCCTTCAGAAATATTAACTATTTTTGCTCCCGATGAAAAGCTCTTGAATTGTAGGGAAAGATTAAGAGGAAGAGAAGAAAAGTTTATCAGTATTAAGAAAATTAAGGATGAACTGAAAACCCCATCCTTTGTGGATATAATAGAAATATGGTTCAGGTCTCTTAGACATACAGGGCTGAGTTTTGCCTGCAAACACACAGGGACGCATCTGGGCCGCTCAGGGCTGGGGGGCCAGCTCTCAGGAGGCCAGTGGAACTGCCTGTCTTCCAGGCTCATTGGGGATTTGAGGGCTTGTTTCTCCAGCACTCTATTTCCCAGTGCGTTCAGCAGACAGGGCCAAAGCCACCTGTGTCGTGACGCGGCTGTGCCCTGACGTGTGAGCCTGGGAGGGGCCACGGCCGAGTCACTCACCGGTCTGTGAGAGCACCTTTGGCTGCGGGGCTTGTAGCACTGCTGGGCGAAGCACGCTCCGCTGCTGCTCCTTGGGCTTCTGGCTCGGCAGACCTGGGGACAGAGGTCGGCTTGCCCGGGCCCTCCGACCGCAAGGGCAGAAATGCAACCCACCCCCACGCCAGCTCTCAGGCACTTTACAGAAAAATTCACCCCAACAACGCATCTGATGTCCCTCTTGGGCTAGACTTTACAGGGAAGCATACTGAAAAAATTAAAAACCCAAGATATTTTCTCTACAGTTAGACATACAAATTCTGGCTATTGTTATTTTTATATGTGATTAAATGAAACCCCCATGAAACTGATCATGTCTGCAAATTAATCCAGTGAGTACAGGAATGCTACAGGGGGGACCAAGAGACAGCTGTTCTCAAGCGTGGGGCTCGAGGGTCAAGGGCAGACGGTGAGGGGAAAGCAGCGAAGCCACAGTTCACCTCTCAAAGTTTAGGACTCTGCTACGGGTCACGTAAAGGTACCCCTTGCACCTGCTTCTCAAAATGCCACGTTGAGAAAATCCCTCTGCCAAACATACAGGGCAAGGACCACGAGAACGCTCCAGGCCCTGCAAGGGCTTCCCGTTGGATGTGACGTGTCTCGATGGCGCGAGTGCCGGGCCCCGCTCACTAGCGGCTGCTCTGCTACTCAGGGTTAACGCTGTGGCAGATCGCTCAGCAGAGACAGTCTCACAACTGAGCTACTGCCGGGCACGGAGCCTGAACGCCACCCACCAAGCCGGGCCCGCTCCCTCGCCGCCACCTCCTCAGGACAGCGGGTTCACAGGCAGGAGAACCTCCCTGGTCCGATGGGCTCTTTCCAGCGGTGTTCCAGTGCTCACGTGTCAGAAAAGTGAGCCCGGACCGCACTGGCACGCAGAGGCCGCAAGGCAGCCACTCTGTGCTCCTCCTTCAAGGCGGACACCCACCTGCACTGGGTGCCTGGCCGTGGATCAGGGTCGGCGGCTTCAACCGGAATCCACTGCTCTTTTCCTCTACAAGCATAAGAGAAAAAAAAAAAGCGGGCCTGCCTGGGGTGGGGCAGCAAAGCTAGGAGGGACCAGGGGCAGAAGAGGACTGTGGTCTGGGCTTCGGTGGCCATGGGCCTGGGGAACTAGGGAAAATGTTTCCAAGTTAAAACAGAAGAGCAGAGGCCCATCCAATCCCGTCTGTAAGGGAGGAGGCTGAGGGCTGCAGGCAGTGCTGGCCCTGGGGTGAACTGCTGGCAACAGAAAACTGGAGGGCATGTGTGGGGCTGGTCAAGCTGCAGTCCACCCACCCAGCTACCTGCCGGGGCTGAGAGCTCGGAGGCTGGGCTGTGCTCGCAGGCCCCAAGGAATATCAGGGAGCCACAGAGTTCTGGTCCCTGGGACCCAGCTCCCTTTCCAGGAGGACACGTCTGTAATCAGGAGAAGCTTCTCTACTACCAGCAGACCTCTGAGAAATGAGATGCATTTTCTGTGGTGAAAGATCAAAGGTGGCAGACGGCAGGCTCTCTCCAGATGTGCCCGGAGTGCTTGCGGCTAATGAGGGCGCTGGGAGGCCCAGGAGGAGGAGGCGGGGCCTCCCTCAGGACGAAGTCTGGGATGGACAACTATGCAGAGCTGACAGACACAGGGGCTCAAAGCCTGGTTTCAGCTCAGCCACCAGTACACACAGATCCCTTAATCCCTGCACCTTGGTGACTCTGCCCATCTCAGGGGGTGGGGGAGACAGTCTAATGCATTCCCTGACCAGAAGGATCAGGATAAAAAGCCTTGTGACTCCAATAGGACACGTCTGTCCCCAGAAGAGCCCAGGGACTGCAGCATTTTGGGTCCCAGAGGCAGCCTCACTTTTGTGCTAAGGTCCAGCCCACGGGGGAAAAAAACCCTTTTCGGGTCATAGGGAACAAGATCAAGACAGAGAAATCCCTTGCCTGTTTTTACACACCAGCAGCGAGCAATCCAAAAGTGAAGAAAACAATTCCATTTACAATAGCACCACAGAGAATATAATACTTGGGAATAAACTGAACCAACGAGAACTACAAAACATTGTTGGAAGAAAGTAAAGACTTAAATAAATGGGAAGATACCCCAAAAGGCCACACAGTGTATGACTCCATTTACAATGAAATGTCCAGAGCTGGCAAATCCACGGAGACAGAAAGTCGATTTGTGGTTGCCAGGGGCTGGGAAAGACAAAGTGGGGAGTGACTGCTCAAGGGTATAGGGTCTCTTTTTGGAGTGACAAAAATGTTCTAAAGTTAATTATGGTGATGGGTGCACAACTCTGTAGATACACTAGAAACCCTTCAACTGTACACAAAAACACCACCACAAACACACCTGGTCAGCCCACACTTTCAGGTATGAAACAAAATCAAATCAGAATTCCCAAACAGGGGGCTTCCCTGGTGGCACAGTGGTTGAGAATCCGCCTGCCAATACAGGGGACACGGGTTTGAGCCCTGGTCCGGGAAGATCCCACATGCCACGGAGCAACTAAGCCCGTGCATCACAACTACTGAGCCTGCGCTCTAGAGCCCGCGAGCCACAACTACTGAAGCCCGTGCATCTAGAGCCCGTGCCCCACAACGAGACGCCACCGCAATGAGAAGCCCGTGCACCGCAACGAAGAGTAGCCCCTGCTCACTGCAACTAGAGGAAGCCCGCACGCAGCAACGAAGAACCAACTCAGCCAAAAAAAAAACACACAAAAAAAACCCAAAAGAATTCCTAAACAGGAAGGCCCTCTTCCTGCGGGCTATGTGTTGGTGAGCCAAACTGCTCTCCTTGGGCAAAAACAGGTTACAATAAGTAACTCTCACTGCTAGCTTGCATGAAGGAGCTGACCCCTACGGGCTCCGGGGAGTCTGCGCTGGTGGAGCTGGTGTTTCTCCCGTAGAGGGGTCGTTAACACCACACTCAGGAGAGCCAGACAGCACAGGATGCAGGGGAGGACATGTTGCCAGATGTTCCTTTTGGGAAGGGAAATACTGAATTACATTTTCAAAGCTCAGGATTATTCAGAAGATGATTGGCAATTTAGAAACATTAAAAAAAATGCGATGAAATTCGTAATTCAGGTGATTTTAAAAAGCCCTTAGAGCTGGCTTTGCAGCGTTCACACTGGGGCTAGAGACTGCTCTCACCGCCCTGCTCTGACCGTTGGACCCCTGGGGCTGACCAGGCTAACCAGCAGGGGCAACAGGCCTGGAAAGTCACTGCCACTGACCCCGAGCACTGGGCCCAGTGCCTGGCCCACCCCAAGGATGCACAGGACATCCATGCTGAATGCTGCGGTGAATGGAGACACAGACGGGCGTGTGTGCCACACTCGCAATGGCAACCGGGGACTCGGGACAGCGGGGCCCAGAGCAGCAGGGAGGGTGCTTACAGGGTGGCGCACCCTGGAGGTCCTGCCACAAGCCCTGTCTGCACTGAAACAAATGTGGTCTCTTCTCATGGCCTCCAGAAGCTCACTTGTCCTGCAACGCAGTCAGGGTGCAGTGAAGAGGCACTGCCTGATGGCCAGAGCCCATCACGGGGGTGCAAGGTCACGCCAAGGTCACAGGGGTGCACAGGCCGCTGTACCCGTGTCTTCTCAAGGGCACATGCACGGCCCCCCGTGAGCTTGCTGTGGGGCAGCCTCCGTCCTCTGAATCATGCCTGAAGCAAGCAGGCTTTTTTGTGCCCCACCTCAGAGAGACCCAGGTGATGAGGGAACTCTGGATTTAACCAGGAAGGCAGATCAGAATTTAACCTGGTGTGTACCACAGGCTAAAAAGAATCTGAGAGAAGGCAGCTTGGCAGGGGCTTGAGCGATGAGTAAGTGTGTTGAGGACAAAGGGAGCCAGGTTTCCTGCTGTCAGAAAAGAGGCAGAAATACGAAGGGGGGGAAGGGGGGGAGGTGGGGCTACAATGAACCCTGTTGGTGCTGGAAGCACCCACCCGAACCGGGGGTGACCTATACAAGCAGACAGAATAGCAGAGGCACAGAAACACGTGCAGATATGAGTGTGTGTAGGCGAAGAGGTCTACGTATGTCTGTGCTCCTGGCTGTGTGTGTTCTCAGCTCTGGGCACAGAGAGGGCTTGGGAGCGGCGACAGCCCAATGGCGACCAGCACGCAGAGCACTCAGATCTTGGTCTCTAGAGACCACTCTCCACTAAGCAGAACCAGGATCCCCTTGAGGAAAGGGAGGGAAGAAGATGAGCCTGGAACCCCTTATGACAGAAAGAAAAGGACATGCTCGAAAGAATGATGCGGACATGGCCAAGGGGCACAGGCTTGGCGCAGCTCCCGGCGGCCAACTGTGGGATGATTAAAATAAACTCATGGTGAAGATAAAATCTGAATGTTAAGGTAAACACTAATAACAACAGATTATAACCCACTGACTAAAACAGGAATGCAAACATCCATGTGGCTCTAGTAAACACATGAGCAAGCAGTGGCAGAGAAGAGCTCTGCTGTCCAGCAGAGTGCCGACCCACAGGAGGCAGAAAATCCCCGGCCGGCCATCACCAGAGGAGTAGCCGCTCCCAGCAAGAAAACATCTCTGGAGGCTAACACTGCAGCAAAAAGTAAGAAGAGGAATGAGATTTTCCAGAGTCTCAAAGTATCTCTCCAGAAAATATTAATCAAAGGGTGAAAAATGACTTTTCAGTGGAGAACCTGGGCGGGCTCCGCCCTATTCAAGTAACAGGACAGTAAACGCCATGAGTCACCTGCTACAGTGCACAGGAAGCACACAGCTTCACCTCTGTGGTGTTCTAGCCCCCAAGGGTAAGTTGGTCCAGTCACCGGGAAACAGCGGGAAAGCCAGGTTGAAGGCCTTCTCCAATGTAACCGGCTTGCACTCTGAAAGGTTATAAAAGCCGAGGCAAGCTCGAGGGACTGTTGCAGATACGTGATGTGTGAGCCAGGATCTGATGCCTTTGCCATGAAGGACATCACTGGGATGCCCCGGGAAAATCGAATGGGGTCTCTAGGTAGAGGGATAGAGAAGTGCTTTACCATTCTTAAGTGTTACAATTTTTCCCGCAAAAATTAAAGCTAAAAAAAATAAAAGGCAGGCAGGCAAGGAGCTAAGAATAAGTTCACTCTGCAGAGCGGCTGAGCCAGTCTATCACCGCTGCACGTGGCAGCGGGTCCAGGGGCCGGCCGGGCTGTGGCAGGCCTCGGAGGCAGGTCCGAGTTACCCGCCTTGCTCAGGGCTGCCCTGCTCTCAGTGCTGCAGGATAAAGGTTTCGGGGAAGAAGCGGGAGTGGGGCTGTCGCACAGACACCTCGGGGGCGAGCATTAGATTCCTAACAGAGCTCGAGGGCTGGCTTCAGTGGCTGATCACCCACCACGGCTGACACGGCCCCCGGGGTTCAGAACGTGACTCGCTAGGCCAGTGCCCAGGTCTTCCCAAGGACCCCTACAAACCAAGCTCCTCTTCAGGCCCCGTGAGGGGGGTCAGCTCAAAACAGTTTGCCTTTAGAGTCAAAATGAATTCAACTGTTTGAAACAATGTCTCATCAAATCAACCCTCAACGTTCTAACAACTTGCCTCTTCCCTCGACAGTGCCCTCGTGCCAGAGTATGACTGGTCTCGCAGCGCTTTTGAAGTCGGCAATGAATTTATATAAAGCAGGTTGGGTTACAGAATTAAGATGGTTACACTCGCTCATTAAATCTTTTATGAGGAATTTCAGCCACGTGGGAGAAACTTTCAGGAAACCTTGGAGTTGGTTCTCTAGTGAGAGACCAAAAAAGGAAAGCCCCACATTCTTCAGAAAGGATCAAGCTATTTTCCTTAAAATTCTAAGGCTCTGATTAAATATATTTATCTAAACAGATCTAAGTAATGTTAATTCATGTGAGAATTTAATACGCAGAGAAGGGGTCTGGAAAATTACATAAACTTCAGAGTGGTTACCATTGGGATGGCAGAGTGCGTGGGAAATGGAGAGGTGGATTCTTTTACTCTATGTATTTCTGAGTTTTTAATGATACAAACGTATTATTTGTGTAAACTTTTGAAAAATGAGTAGTATACTTCATTACAGTTTTTTTTTGTTTTTGCTTGTCTCTCTCTCTTTTTTCTTTTAAAAGGACTTGCAACTCCTTGTAACCAGGCCCTGCTTGTAGAAACAGAAATTAAGGGCTGATGAAGCCTGCCTCACACCAGATTCCAAATCTGTGCAGTGAAGAGTTGGGGAACATTTAGGAACTGAAAAAGAAGGTTGCCTTCAAACCACCCATTCCCAATTAAGACCTTGCTTTTCATCCCAGGAAACCCCCAGTGACCAGCCGAGAAAGGTAAAGGGACGCGAGGGCTCACCTGGTTCTGAGTCAGAATTGCCTGCAGATGGCTCGCAGAAGGTGGATGGCATAAAAACATTGTTTTTTGATACTGTCAACAAGGAGGTGCAGGCAGGGGAGGGAACAAGAGGAAAAACAGTGTGAGTAGGCAGGGTAGACGTGCACAGGATCACTTCTCCCACCTGAGGGGTCATCTCCAGGCCCCACCGTTGGGGAAAGGGGGGTCAGCATTGTGAACCTGGCCTTTGGCAACTCCCAGTAAAAGTGAAACCCTGGGACTCTTTCTAAAGCACAAGAAAGGTGGGTGTCCAGTGGAACAGCCTGAATCTGTTTGATATCTAGCAGTTGACTCTGGCCTGCTGTGGCCACCTGCCTCGTTCTTGTGCCCCTGTGGGAGCAGCCAGGAGGGAAGCGGATGCACCCGATGTTCCGAGTCTCCCCTGGGGCCAAGCCTCAGGCCCTGCTCCTTGTCACCAGTCGGGGCTCGGCTGGCTGCAGACCCCCTCCCCTCACCTGTTTAGGATCTTACAAAATCAACTGCTTCCCGGGTTGTGGGCCAGGCAACAATGCAGTGGGGCTGAAGATCTAACTGTGCGGACAGAAGGCAGCTAGCAAAGTGGAAACAGTGCAGTGCAAAGGCCTCCAAACGTGGGACTGCTTGTGGCTCCACTCCCCTGATAGCTGAGCGCTGAGCATCCCCTAGGTGGTGACGCGCGAGAGGAGAGGGCTAACGCCTGCTGGTCCTCTACCCCTTCAGCCTACGGTCACAGCACAAACCACCTCCTCTCTTCTCCGCTGCACCTTCTCGATGCGCAAAGTGCGGTTCAGCAGTGGACAGTGAGCGGGAAGGAGTACGATCAAGGCCAGGAAGTGGACGCTCCCTCCTCCTGTGGTAAGGCTCACGTGACAAGTGTGCAGAGCTCCTTAGAAAAAGGACGTAACCGCAGCCTGCACTGTGGACCGCCCGAACGGCTCCTCAATGCCTGGCTAGCGAACGACAGTGCCTCTATTCAGGGGGGTCTCCCGCAGTTGTGAAAAAGGATGAGGCAATGTCCAAAACAAGTGTTCAGGGAACAGGCATGAAATTAAGTGTTACAGGGATAAACGTAAGAGGACACTCACTTTCTACACTGTACATTCCTGTGACGTTTGCATTATTCTTGGAAGCAGAAACAAAGCTTCCAGGAGTGTCTTTTTTTCCCTTAAAGTGATATCCTTAGGGCTCACACTTGTAAATGTTTTACATGAATTCCCAAGAATGAACTTCAAGCTGGGGAACTGGAGAGTGTCTGTAAGCCAGCACCGCAGACAGCACGGGGCGATGCCAGAGTGGACGGAGCCAGGACCGGGGCCGGGAGTGGGGAACCCTGCCGCAGCTTTTACCCTCCAAGGCGCAGGGGTGTCCCCAGGCTTGCAGAGCCCCCTGCTAAGTAGTCCCAGCATCTCCCTCTACCCCAGGAACCCGCCTCTTGCCTGAACCAGCCTGTGTCCACCAGCTGGTCTGCTGGCCTGTGTGTGTGTGTGCAGACCTGGCACCAGGCTGGAGCTTCCAAGCCCTTGGGCCCAGCCACAACCACAGGGACAGGGTCCCAGCCTGGCCAACCCTTCCAGGCTCCCCCAAGCCCCCTCGTCGGGGAGCTCACAGTATTCCACCACCAAAGTGCCTGCTGGGGCCACTGGACTCCCTCCTATGTACTGTCTGTGTGTGTGCCTGGGATTCTCAACTGGCCCACCGGGCTCTAGGCACATGGCTGAAGGGCCAGGAGGACACCCCATTTCCCCCACCTTCAGTCAACACATAGCCAGCGGCCTTGCAAGGTGGACGTGCGCTTAATGGTCAGAGCCCCGACCAGGGCCCTGACGGTCCCTTTCAGAGGGACGATTTCTTCGCAAGCCTTGCTTATTAATAGTCTACTAGGTCTCACCCCTCCAGACGGGGGCACCTGTGCTACCCTCGGGCACGCTCCAGCCTCACTCCTGACGGAGACTGAGTTCTAACGGGATGTGCACAGGGGACAGACAGGGGTGTGAGGCGCTGGAGGGGAACAGCGGGCTTGGAAACACAGGTGCTTTCACCGTCTATCGAAGGGCTGCAACTGTTACCTGACTGTGAAGGCGGGAATTGCGTTAAAGAGGATGTTCTTTCTCGCTTGACGGGAGGGCAGTAATTTCCATCTTCTCGGTCAGAATCTACAGAAAATGAGGAGGAGGAGAAAAATCAGGCTGCTTCCGCTTTTACAACCAAAACTGGTGAAACATTTGAGAGATTTCCTCACCTTCTCCACCTTCGGGGCTGGAGCCTCCGGCTGACCTCTGAAACAAGAACACATGTAAGGGCGGTCAGAGAGGGCCGCGTGGCCCAGGGCCCGGCAGCTCCTGACTTCTGCCACAAATGGATCCCGAAATGTAGCGTTGAGGGCACGTGGCCTGGGCTCAGTCACCCGGGTCACAGACAGGCTTTCAACCTAATGCTCAAAAATCCCCCATGAACCGTCACGCCTCTGCCTCACCAGGCCTCGTGCCAAGGAATCCTCTTAACGGCTGGGAACGCATTCCCAGCACAGGATCAGTTTCCGTGTTTCTCCACTGGGTACAGCTAACTGGCGTTCCCCCACCCCAACCCCCCAATTCAAACACTGAAACTGGATCTGGCCAAGTTCACTTTGCCAAGAGCTGGAAAGCAACCCTCTCTGCACCCTGAAGGGCTGCAGGACCGCTGACACTGGCTGCGTGACACTGGGTCATGGTGGTTCCCATTCCTGGCCCTGGCACATCCCATGGTATGGAACTGTTTCAAGGTGGGCTGTTATTTCCAGAGCAGCCGAGAGCTTTGAAGCCTTGGGCTGAAGTGTTCAGAAGAGAATCCCCAGGTACAACAGCTCAGACCGTAGAACCCACCGAACAATCATCAGCTGAGAGTGAAAGGTGGCTGAAGCATCTCCTCCTTGACAACCTCTAATTTTAGAATGCGAACGAGAAATTAAGAAGCTTATAATGAGCCCCCGCCCCATGTGGGATAATACACAGTCCCTGCTGTACATCCCCTCTCAGGGACATGAGATTCTTCAGAACTAAGCAGCCAAAGCAAACTCTGAAGGGTGAACATCACCACCCCCGCCCCCGGGTCACCGGTTTAAGAGCAAGCAGGGGAGCCAATTTGTTTATTTTCAGAAAAGCCCCTCAGGAGTTAAGTTTAGCCAAAGGAGGACCACCTGCCTCGAGGAGCTGTTAGGGATTAAATGAGATGATGCATGGGAAAGTGCTTGGCAAGCTGCAAAGCCATGTGTAAAAGCAGTAACTGCTGCAAATAAGAAAACTGCAGACGAGGAGCCGGGGGACCTCCCAGAGCTGGGGTGGCACTTTCCCTGTAAAGGGCCAGAAAGTATTTTCAGCTTCACAGGCCCCATTCGGGCCACAAGTTGTATATTCTTTATTTTGTTTTTACAATCCTTTAAAACACCATCTTAGCTTGCAAGCTGGACAAAAACAGACGGGGGGCAGAGTTTGCAGACCCATCCTAAAGGACAGTGAGAGCCTGGATGGTAAGAAAAGGACCCCAACCTGGCCTTCCCCCCCAACCCCCCCCATCAGAGACCATCCACCAAAATGCCTGGGAAACGCGAAACCCTCGTAACACAACAGGGGCTCAACATGTGAACATATCATGGGGCCCAAAATGAAATAAAATACCCAAGGGTCCAGCAGGCTGGCGCTACATGAGTGCAAAACAGTGGCCATGGCTCGAGCTCAGAGCATGAAGGCACTAAATCCTGCTTGCCAAGCCTAGTCAGCTTCTCCTAGCTCTGCATGTCCTAAACCTGAAACGCGGGGCAAATTATTTCACTGGCCCAAGCTTCCACTTCTTCGCTTTGAAAATGGCGGGGCCAGCGCTTCCTCCGTAGGGAGGGAGGTGCAGGGGGTCAGTGGGCTAAGCAGGCAGTGCCACATGGCTCGCAAATGGACAGGCCACGCTCTCCCAGCCAGCTCACCCCCTCGGGATGTCATACTTTGGGGCAGTGCTGGGGGAGGTGGGAGAGCCAGGTGAGGGACCAGGGGACCCTTGGAGGAGCAGAGAAGAGGGTCTTAGCATGGGGGACCCAGAGAGGCGCTCTTGCAGTGCTGTCATTCTACGGGGCCCAGGCTGGCATCTGACAGAACGGAGCCATGTCACCAGAACATCGGGTGCTCCTCTCAGATGCTCCCCTGCCCTGGGTGACACCATGAAGGTGCAGGCTCCAGGCCCCTCCCTCCTACTCCTCCACAGCAGGCCTGGCCATCCCCAGCCCAGCCCTCGCCCTCAAGTCCCATCCTCGACTCCCCCCACCCCCCACCTTTTCACTCAACAAGCATCTCAACTCTCCCAAACCTGCCCATGGCAGCCTCTGGGGCCTGTGGGATCCGCTGCTTCCTGAATGACTTCTGGCACCTGGAAAATGGCCAGCCCCCTGCCTCTGTAGACACTGCTCCCTCACCCACGGACACCGTCCCTTCCCTTGCCCCCCAGACGAAAACCCCTCAGGCCGTGGCCCCACCGCTCCCTGCACTTCTCCACGGCTCTCACTCCAGCCGTGGGTCGGTGTCAGGGTCCCCCTCTAGCCTCTAAGTTCCAGAAGGGTGTGGCCCCAGCACACAGTGGGGCTTCACTGGCCTGTGTTCAGTGGAAGCAGCCGGATTCCAGGCACTCCATGGGCCATGGGGAAGCTGCCAAGGCATGTGTCCCCCAAGTTACACACAGAGCAACGGACCCAAAAGCTGTGAGGCCAGAGCGTCGTCCTGTTTCTCAGCAGCTGGGGAGGCCAGTTCTCTGTCACCTCAATCTCAAGAGGATCCCCGCCTTTCCTCTTGGCTAGCTACGTTAATTTCCACATGTGTGAATTTCCGAGCATTCCTTCTGCTACGGATTTCTAATTTTATCCCATTGTGGTAGGAGAAGACTCTGTGTGATTTCAATCCTTTTAAAGCTACTGAGACTTGTTTTGTGGCCTAGTGAGTGGTCCATCCTGCAGCTTCCTGCATGCCCCTGAGAGGACCATGTACCCTGCAGCTGCTGAAGTCCTCTCTGTCCTCGTCCTGCTTCTGTCTGGACGTTCTAGCACCTAACATGAATGAGGAGCACTGAGGTCTCCAACAATGTACTGGATTGTCTATTCTCCCTTCATTCTGTCAGTTTTTGCTTTGTGTATTTTGGGGCACTTTTAACAACACTTAACTTCCTCACCTCTGCCAGTGACACCCCAAACCTCTCAGGGATCTGGGTCTCCTTGAAAATTTGATGGGTGCTAGGAGCCTGTCTCCAGAAAAGTACCCAGACCTCAGGGGCTGCAGCCCCACCTCTTGGGGCCCAGGACTGCTGAGGCCGGGCGGCCTCCTGCAGCACTGGGCCCCCTTCGTCCATCACACCCTAGCCTTGTTGTCTCCTTCCTGTCTCCTGAACACGTCAACCCTGTTCCTGCCTCAGTGTTCCTTCTTCACGTGCTACTTGCACAGCTGTCCCTGACCACCTCCAGGGTGAACCCCTGCTCACGGGCTACATCATCACCCAGCAAGCAGGAGCAGCTCTTCTCCACCCTACCCTCCAGCTTCTCTCGGGCCTCTGCCCTGTTTTGTGCATCACAGTGGGATGTGATCTAATGTGTCCATCTGTTGTTTGTCTCCTGCTACCATGAGGCCCTACCCTGTCTGTTCTGCTCACAGCTCATACACCCCACACCCAGGACACTGCACAAAAGACGCTCAGCAAGTACTGCACAAATGGAGCCTGTCCTCCGCCACAGCCCCTTTGGTGACCTGGAAAAGAAAGGGCACCTGGCCAGACAAGATCAGATACTCCTAGACCCCTGACCCCAGGAGACCCTCAAATCCATGCTCCGAGTCTATTCTAAGACCCACCCCACAGGCATGTGGCAGGCCTCTTTGTCCTGGAAAAGCTGGGAGGCTAAGGCCTGCAAAGGACAGCACAGGAAGATTCCCCAACTGGGAGGACCTTCCAGAAGCTGCTGGAACTTCCTGGTGGGTCTGAAACAGCCGACTCAGAAGCAGTGAGGAAAGTGACGCCAACAACTCTCCTCAATAGGAACCAGGGCAAGGAAGCAGGAAGACAGACTGCAAAGCGAAGTTATTTCTGCTTGCCTTTGGAGCCTACTTGACAGCTAAAAACCCTCCACCACTGCCCGTGCGAGAAGCAGCCTGCCCCCTGCTCCTGCCAGGGAAGGCCTGCGCTTGCTGTCTGGGCCTGGCTGCCTCATGCTGTCTTCCCCCAAAGCAGGAAAAGGCCTGGTATGCACTGCTCCCCTTCAACCCACACAAGGCCAATGACAGCTCCACAGACACTGTCCTCAGACACAGCAGCCTGGGGGGACAGGACGTCTTCCATGTCAAAGTGGTCTGGGGGTCACCCCTCGCCCCAACCAAGGGAACAGCTCTTCAGGGGTCAGTCTAGAACAATGCCTGGGACACACATGGAGTCAGGCCTTGCAATCCCAACTCCTTGGAGCCCAGAAGGCTGCAGCCAAAGCTCAGGAGCCACTGCTCCAGGGACTCCTGTGAGGAGGATTTTAAGAGCAGGCTCTCAGGATCTGCGCCTCTGGGGAGGAGCGGGGACAGAGCAGGGTGTGGAAGCCCCATTTCCTCCTCTGCTTCTTCCCACAGCAGAAGCCACCACTCAAGGATTGGGGCTTCAGGATGACACCCCGGGGACGCTGGGACCAGCACCCTTTAGGGATGCCACGATGAAAATATGCCCAACGAACACTTACATGAGGAGGCCAAAGAGAAAGAAGACCAAAGAGAACACTTCAACTTATTTTTCTGGCGCTAGTGAACGAATGAAGTGGACGGCGGCAAGGCCGCGGCCTAGCGAGCAAGCCCGCCCTGACTGCGCGCTGCAAGGTGGCCTGAGTCCCTCCAGCGGGTGGGACAGGCAGCACAGTCCTCTCCCCTCAGAAGACACTGGAACCTCAGGGGAAGCAGCTCATTCTGTGAGGTGCGTATAAGTCCCTGTTGCCAAGTACAAAATAGGAGGGAACGCCTAACCCAGGATGGGACCACAGGTGTGAGAAGCTTCTGATCTTGATGTAAAGGATGAAACAACGAAAATTACAATCGTTAACTGAATCACTTTGCTGTACACCTGAAACCAACACAACATAAATCAACTATATTTCAATAAAAATTTAAAAAATCAATAAATACAATTATGACTGTAAAAAAAAATAAAATTACGATCATTCACTTTGCTAAGGCTTGCACCCTCCCCCCTCCCAAACATGGCTCTCATGAGGCTGCCTGGCGTGGCCTAGAGAGGACAAGGCTGCCAGGCCAGTCCAGGAGGAGGGGACGGAGCTGAGACACAGACACAGACAAATGGGCAGTGAGCAGGAATGAACGGTGCTGCCTTCCTGACCTCCCGGAAAAGACCAGAAAGCAATACCATGTCAGGGAAATTCCTTCCAAAAAATGCCAGACACCATTTGGCCTGCCTGGGACTCAGTGATTCCCCATTTGGACGGCCCAGTTAGAAAGCCCACTGCTGGACTTCCCTGGTAGCGCAGTGGTTAAGAACCTGCCTGCCAGTGCAGGGGACACGGGTTCGAGCCCTGGTCCAGGAAGACCCCACATGCTGTGGAGCAACTAAGATCGCGCGCCACAACTACTGAAGCCTGTGCGCCACAACTACTGAAGCCCACGCACCTAGAGCCCGTGCTCCTCAACAAGAGAAGCCACTGCAATGAGGAGCCCTCACACCGCAACAAAGAGCAGTCCCCGCTCGCTGCAACTAGAGAAAGCCCGTGCACGGAAACGATGACCCAACGCAGCCAAAAATAAAAAATATAAATAAATAAATAAATTTTAGAAAGCCCACTGCTGGGGCTGCAGGAAAATGGACGCCTGGGATTAAAAGTCACTTAAGGGGTGTCCTTCATGTGGACCACAGGCAGATTCACTGCTGTTTATTCTGTAACTGAGGGAACCAGCTCAGAGATTCTTACCAAAAAGGCAGACATCGAAAAAAGAAAAAGAGAGGTGGCCTTCCAAGATGTGAATGCTGGGCAGGGCCAGGGCGGAATGAGGGTCAAACCCTGTGCAGATGCCAGAGGATGAGGGGCTGGGTCCAGACTCTTTCTAAGCTTCCTGGTGGGTCTCATAAAGATATTTCAGGCTCGGCAGTGCCTTGATGCAGAGCTTCAGTCTGGTAGACTCCAGCCAGCCTCCAAGTGAGCATTGGGAACGCTCACTCTCTCCGGATCAAACGGACAACTTAATCTGGATGTGGTTTGGTCTCCTTCAAGCTGCCTTGTGAGAGCCAGGAAGTCTGATATATTGAGACTTTTTCCTGGTACTGAGTCTTCAATGGCCAGAGTTCTGATGAGACTGAAAGACGATAAGGGCCCTTTATAGGCAACAATTCAGCGAGCCACTATTTATTATAAAGAATTTGCAGCTTTACACTCGCTCAAGGGATCGTGGAATAAAGAAGAGACTAAACGTGAGGGATGGGACCTGTCAGGTAACATGTGGGTGTTTCCTGAACTCCAGTGTGGCACAGAACAAGCTCCAAATCTGCTCTGATGCAAAAGCAACTAGTCCGAGTTAGCCATAGACATCTCAGCCCGGGAAGAAGCTGGGCTCAGGTTCCATCTGCCTTGATCTATGCCCTAATTGACCTAAAAAACAAAGGTTACTTTGCCTTGATGCCTAATCAGCAGAGAAAGCCCTGGTTGACTCAGAGCTGTCACAAGTGATGTGATGGTCACGCTGCTGGGACTTCTGACAGAACTGGGATCCCCACAGTTACGCGCGTGTATGTCACGGGCATGGCCTTGGCTACGACGCTGGTACATTCAGAAACTGCTTCCCCCAGCCCCGACTCTCTCCCACGTGACGTAACAACCATCCCCAGGCTCCCTGCCATTGCGCTTGACCTTGCATTTGCCAGTTGGGGCACTGCTTGAATGTCTCGGAATTAGAGTCTCTGACCCACAGTCCAAAAGAAATGAGGAGCCGAGCTCCACCGGCCAGGCTTCAGAAATCACTGCCTGGACCGGCCACAGCCTGAAGGCGAGGCCCCCAGGGTGCTTCCTGCACAGGCCCCGTCTCACCAAGTGGTCATCAGAAGTAAGGGGCCTGAAAGAGCCTCGCTTCTGGAAAGGCAGTTGCCGTGACACAGCCTCTACTGTTTGCCACCCTAGACTGAAAACCCTCAACCTCTTCAGCGGGAGATGCTCCGTAAACCGTGCTTTTCAACCCAGGCAGCAGCAGAAGGGCCCAGTCTCCTGGGCAGATCCGCACAAAGATCATCTGTTCTCAGGGAACTGAAAACATGTACCTGCAAAGGCCAAAGGCATGAAACTCATAACGGCCAATTTGGGAGAAGGTTCCAGCAGCTGCTCTGCCTCCAAGCCCAAAAGTTGAAAAGCCTCTGAATTCTTGCTGTCAGCCCTCGTGTGAGGACTATGCTCCCAGAACTCTCTGGTGTAAGCACCTCGGGCCGGAACCTCTCGTGGGCTTCCTTACCCCAAGCCCATTTCTATGCCACGCAGGACTCCCCCATACCCCGCCCCACACGGATCCCTCCAGAATGTTAAAGTTTGGCTCCAACCTCACCTTGCCTGAGTATCACTTATTCCTGCGCATCCCAGGGTTTGGTGGCTCTAAGAGAATTTTAGCGGCTTCCTTAAGGACACAGGAGACTGGTGATGGGACACAGGGAACCGCTAAAGGTCTGGGGTAAGGCCTGGGACTGTGACACCCTGCAAGGCTGCCCAGGGTTCAGTGTGGCAGAGCGGGATCCTCTGTTTTCTTGACAGTCATTTTCCCCTGTCATGAGAATGGGGGACTCTGTCACTAGGTACCGAGACGACGAGGTTTTCAATCCTGAATGTAGGCTAATGTTTACCTTTCCCAATTTATCAAACTCCAAAAACTCAAGACATTTCTTGTTCTGGAGAGCTCACAATCTTCTCCACCTATAATCTTCAAAAGCCTTCTGAATACAAAGATAAAGGGCTCAAGGGATTCCCTCTGGATTCAAAGGAAGAGTCTCTTCTTCTTCCTGCTTTGATTGAAGACAAGCAGTTCACAGCCCAACCACGGTCCAAACACAACCAGTCTTGCAAAGCAATCTGCGGTAGACACCTTTTCCTATAGGTCAAGGAAGCCGGAGCCTTTTGTGTTTCTAAGATAACTGAACTTGAATGCCCAAATTCAGGGAGAGGAGAAGGAAAAATGGAAGGAGGGAGAAGGGGCCGAATTTGCTGTGGAAGGTTCTACCCCACTACTCAATTCCTCTTTTGCCCCCTCGCCTCCTTCAGGAACCAGGACTAGCTTCTGGCTATGGGTAAATGTTCCCCCAACTAGAAAAGTCTCAATGTAAAAGGGGACTTCCTCTTTCCTGACTTTTTGGCAGCAGGAATTAAAGGGAGCTGAAGAGGGCCTTTGTTATCTTTTCAGTTATCATCAGCTGCTGACAACCTGGGGTGTGGATCTGAGGGGCCCGGAGGGAAAGGGGCCAGTCTGGGTTGGGAGCCCCGGGCCATGGGATGCCGGGTGGAGGTGGACTTACCCCTGCCAGTTCTCGTGGAAAAGGAGGAAGCTGGGCTTCAGGAGCGCTGGCTGAAGCGCTAGCGGGGGCAGGAAGCTCTAGGGCATGCTCACCAGCTGACTCGGGGTGACCCGTGCCATGGTGGGGGGCCTCAGCCTCCCCCCGAGGCTCCTCTCCCGAATCCGACAAGTCTTTTTGCTCTGCAGAGGACTGGGAGCAAAAAAGACAATTTTCCTTCAATGTAAATAAAGCCAGCAACGCGGGGCAGGGGAGGGGGGCAGGGGAAGGTCTGGAGATGCTCGGGCTTCAGCAGCTCCTGCCCGGGAGGTCAGGCCAAGAGAGCCGGCACATGCTACCGCGTTCTGCTCCACAGAGCCAGCCCTCCACACTGACAGAAGGGCAGTGAGCGCGGACCTGCTGCTGTCGGACCTGGCAGGGAGCTCCGAGGTGTGCAAGAAGTTGGACCCTCCTTCTGAAAACTGCAAGGTGGCCCCTGTGGCACAGAGATCCTCTGCCGATGGCAGTGACTGAGGAAACATCCCTGTGACCAAGACGGGGGCGGTGCCTCTAGCAGAGGGGAACAGGGGCAATTGTGTCAAACTGTCCCCAGGGCTTAATTACCCATCCACTCAAACATACTCGTGAGGGGAGGTGGGCGCCAGCACCCTGTCTGGCCACTGGGAGAGCCAGGGCGGTGGGGCCAGGGCTTCTGCACTGGCTGCGGCCCCGCCAGCACCTTCCCATCTCTGCCGCTTAAACCCGAGAGGAAAGGAACGCTTTCTTGCTCGGCGAGCGCAGGTGTGGGGTGACCCCGCGAGTTGGCAGACACACAGAGAGCCGGTTTTGTATCAGTGACAGGTGGGTGGGGCTCCGGCTGAAGGAGGGAGCCCCTCGGCCTACAATTCTCCCAGACTCCCACCGCACATTCCGAGCCAGGGCTTATCTAGAAAACAGCCAGGGTAAGGGGAAGCCGGTCCCCAAAGTCTTCGTCCTCAAAAGCACAGACCCCCCCGGCATCCTTTGAGGTGGTTCTTGGGATTCTAAAGGGGCTTCCATGGGCTGAGGGCTCTGTGGCCAAGATTCTTCTTGAGAGGTGCGTTACAGAGCTGGTGTCCTGTTATAAATACATGGGCTCCGGTCCCCAAGCCTCCTGCCTGGCATCGTCCACCACACGTCTCTCTCGCTTTGTGAACTAAATGACCACGGGGCCACCCTGCCTCCCTGCAGACACGGCTGTGTTCTTCCTGCCCGTGAAGTGACTGAAACCTCTTTAAATAGGACTTGGGACTATTTTTAAATGTGTGAGCCTGCTAGATGAAAGGAGCTACATAGAGGATTTTAAGAGAACTTTCAAACATTCTTATGAAAAAGCAAAAGCAACACAACTCATCCATACATCTAAAAAAGCCACCCAAATCGACTCTTCCTATGCAGGGGAGAGCCAAAGACATAAAAGGCCCTCCTTCCCAGGCCATTCCTCAAACCTGTCCAAGGCACCGAGGTTGGTCCACGCACCAGTCTGCTGCTACTTTATGGCTAGAGATTTAACACCATTTTAAAGAGAAAATGAAACCCAGAGCTCTAGGGGAAATTGCCTATCTCTGTTCAGAACCACTTGGATTTTTTTTTTAAAATCCCGCTTTACGAATATAAATGTAGAAATGCCCTCATGGCATGGCAGACTAGAGATGAAGCCTAAGTCGGAGGACCAAAAAGAAATACAAATGCCATTCCAGCATTTTCTCCTTGGGTCTGAGTAAGCTCTAAGGAACCAAGATAGAGCCTGTAGTTTTTCAACATGTTTGTTAAAATCGGACATCGAGATTTTGGCAGGCTTTGACATCATCCTAAAATATACGTGGCTGACAAAAAACCACGCATACAGGGTACGCTTGTTACACACACAGTAAGCTCCCAGTGTTGTCGGTGACACCCTGCTTCCTGCCCAACTGCTGCTGTAACTGCTTTCTGCCTTTTTGCTAAATGGACATTATCCTGCCAGTGCAACCCCAAAATCTTCTGCCTTCAGATTAGCAAATATTTGGAAAATAAAGTAAATGAAAGAAACGTTCAGTCGTCACAAACAGTGAAACAAACTACGGAAGGAGATTCAAATTCTCTTCACGTTAAAGAGAAAAAAACTGTCTGTCTCCATTCAAGCCAGTTAAGAAAAGGTTTCATTTTTGCCCCTAAAACACAAATGCGTGGAAATGCAAGCATTTTGTGAAGAGCGCCATCTTGAGGAAGCTCAAGAACAGGAAAGCAGTAGAGACAGTTCCTGTGCTGTCAGTCTGGCTCCAGGTTTGCATTTCGGGCGTCAGGACTGGAGTTCCGCTGCTGCCCGATGCTCTAACACGGAACAGTGGGAGGATCTGACGACTTGTCCTGAGACCAAGGGATGCCACCGGCAGGCCACCACCACCAAGCTGTGGTTTGCTGCAAATGCAACTCCAACTGTCTATGGGACTGACGGAAAATCTTGTGTGTCTTTGTCACCAAACCAACACCAAAACGCCTGGGCTGGCAGCCTAATTTTTTTCTTTTTGATTTCAAAGCCTTTGAAGGGGGGTGTGGGCTCTTGGAGTGCATCCCACTGGGGCACTGGTGGTTTAGAGATCATTTACTGCAAGAAGGTAATGCTCCCACAGTTGACAACGGGACTTCTTCATCTTTGTGGATCAAAAAGTGGCTCAAAAAACAGCTGTATGGGAGACCTAGGTGACAATTAGGAAAATTTCAATGTGGACTATCTATTAGAGGGTATTTCTGAATTAATTATCATTTTCTCAGGCGTGCCCATGGCACTGGGGCCATGGAGAAGAATTCCTAGGAGACACTTGTGCTGAAGTATTTAGGGGAAAACTGTCAGGTGGGTGCAATTTATAGTCGAGCGTTTCTGGCATTTATGATAAAAATGTTAACGGTGAAGCCAGGTGAAGGATACCCAATGGTACCCACAGTACCATTCTTTTAACTTTACTGAGGATTTGAAAAAATTTTCAAAAACAGAAAGTTGAAAAGGGAAAATAAAAGCTCCCTCAGAAAAAAACAACGGCAACCTGAACAGATCTTCCCAACTCTTGCTACTGTGGCGTGAGGAGGGAGGGCTGAAATCGCGGCAAGGGGGGGAAGCTGGGAGGGTCTCAAGGTGTCATGTTGTGAGAAGTGTCGTGGCCACTCCTTGCAGACCTACCTTCCCGTCGCTTCCCCTGGGCCGGGGAGCCACGCGGCCATGGAGCCGGCTGTCCAAGCCTCTCCGCTTCCTTCCCGCCCGACGCCCGAGCTGTCATAGCAGCAGAGAAAGGAGGAGGGCTCTGTGTCCACTGGGCAGCCGCCCACCCGGCAGCTCAGAGGGCGGCCCCGACGGACATGCAGGCTCCTCCGGCCTCTGCCGTTAGACGCAGAGGTTTTCCGTGCCCTTCCGATGATCTTGTCACACAAGGGTGACAGCAGGCGAACTCTGAAGAGCTGGAGGTCAGTTATTTCTAGAAGCCCATTTAGAGCTGGCACTGAGTCAATATTTTGATGTGCACGTTTTCACGGTGACGAGCACCTCCCTGGAGACTCTTCGGGTTCAACCTCACCCCGTTTATGTAATTGGCATCAACCTTCTGAAGGTGACACGTGTAAGTCAGCCTTTGAATTACGAAGCAACAGAACCACCTCAACCGTGAAAACAGTACTGAAATAAGAGTTAGTCATTTTAAAAGCATTTTAAATTCAGTCAAATAAACATTACGTTTTAGCGTTTCACCCTGCTGGCTGTCAGAAAGTCTTCAGGTTTTAAGAATTATTCATTCCAATTACTTGTTTCAAATCTGGGTTGGCAAACTTTTTCTGTAAAGGGCCAGATACTAAATATGTTCGACTTTGCAGGCTAACTGGTCTCAGTCCAAACCCCTTCACTCTGCTGTGGACAGCACAGGTGTGGCCTCAGCTCTCTGCACGGGCCAGGCGGGGCCGAACGCCAATAAAGCTTTATTGACAAAAACAGCAGTGGGAGCAGCCCTCTTAGTTGGCTGACCCCTGTTTCAAACTAAAAGTGGTTCAAAAGAAAATCATAACAAAACTCAAAATTCTAGAAAATCCCGATTTTACGGAAAACCTAAGAGAAGTGACTTTTACATCTGAAGCAGAAACCAAACACACCCACCTCTAAAAGCCAGAAGCACATCAAGCCCCTTCACAGTGACTGAACTTCCAAAGGACAAATGATAAAAACACATGTATGCACTGGTCAGGGCCCAAGGGAGAGGGGACGGCAGAGGTTGATGTATCTTGAAAATACCACTCGGAAAACTGAAACCAAAAGGGAAGAACATTTCCTTGTTTTGTTTCCTAAAACGATTCTTCGGCATAAGAATTAACAACGGGAAAGATTAATTTGAGAACAAGCCTTGCAGATGAGCCCCGGCTGACACAGAAGACACCCTGCGCGGGGGTGCGGGTAGGGGTCTCAGGGCAGCTGCTTCTCCTTCCCGCACCTTCCACGCACTTGCGCCCTCCCCGGCACAGCCCTTGAACGCTGGGGCTGCTCTCTTTTCAGGCCAAGGGGCAGGGTTTACAAGCAGCAGCTGGGCCGCCAGGAGTCCCAAATCGCCAGGCCAGCAGCCCCCAAACTCAAAGCTGGCCACCCTGTGGGGGGACTGGATATCCACCCGAGCACCTGGTCTGTGCGTCACACCCCTGAGCCGAGAAGCCCCTCAAATGCTGTCCTCATCAACAAGACGCACACGGGTTTCAGAACACCTGCATCAACGCAGCGCATTGGTCACCCTGAAATCTTGCCGTGGTTATGACATCACACCTGCTGTCATGTCCCAGGCATGAGGGCAGGGACCATCCATTTTTTTGACAAATAGGGGGAGTCCTCATACAAGCTTGGGAGGCATCACCACAGAACACCAACCATCTCTGGACACAACCCGGACCTTCCAGGCTGATCCGTTCAGGGAGGGAGACAACCCCAATGACTTCAAGATAAGCAACCACACGCGACTTTGTGGGAAGGCACCGCCGCATGCACCCACCAGTCCTCTGACGGGCTGCTAGCTCATCACGATGAATTAGGCGAGGTACATCAGGGAAAACAAGACATTTAAAGCCCAAGAAGGGGGAAGCAACCTAACAAAGATGGGTGGTGAATATATAATGCAAGCTGACTACTAATTGTTCAAAATGCATTTATGGCAAGTTGGTTGGGGCCAAAAAAATCCCGCGAAAATCTTTAAAGGTCCTACTTGCCCCTTAACCAGCACTGCTCCCTCTCCTCTCCTCCCTCCCCCCGTCCCCGGCCCCCTTTCTCTCCCTCCTACCAGATTTCCTAATGCACAGCAGTACTTCTAAAGCAAATCATTAGGAATGAGAAGGAAGCTGATTCTTCCACTGCTTTTTTAAAGCAGGGTCTCTGAGCCCTGTCCATACACACCCCCTCTTAACCTCGTGCCATGGTAACATAAAGCCACTGGGCTTTTTCTCCATGGCAGAAGGTTCCTCGGCCATGCGACCTGGGGAGAGAGAGCTTGGGGAGAAAACAAGGCAGAGTTAACCACGTGAAGGGAGAACATACCGGCCCCTTACCTTTTGTCCTTTATCCTTCTGAAACACAAAGACGGGCGGAGCAATGGCAGGCTTTTCTGCAAAAAGAAAAATTGGTGTTTTTCCCCCCAACACTATATTCGTACAGTAAACAAAGCTACATTCGTTTGTAATAAGTAAAAACAAAAAACAAACCTGGTATAAAACTAGTAACTCAAAAGATCATCAAATAGCTTAGAAAACAGTTTCTTCACATGGATGAGGGGAAGTGTTCAGTGTGAAAAAACTCTACACAGTGGTAGGATACGTGCACTTTTCTGTGTGCATGTACACACCAATAAAAAGGTTCCAAGACTCACTCAGAACAGGCCATGTCACTGATGGAGGGAGTGCGGTGTGGAGGGTGGCAGGCTGCAGGGTGCCCGGGTGGCTGCTACTCAGCGCCACCAACCGTGGTGCTGCAGGAACGAGGCGCAGAGATGTCAGGTCCCCAATTTCAAAGGCTGGAGACTAGTTTTCTCATTTTTTTTTTTTTTTTTTTTGTCGCGCCATGTGGCTTGCAGGATCTTAGCTCCCCGACCAGAGATTGAACCCGGACCCCAGCAATGAAATTGTCAATTTTTGACCACTGGCCCGCCAGGGAAATCCCTAGGTTTTAAATTTTTCCACATCTGCAGGCCAGCTGAGGCCAGGGATGACCCATTTGCAACCTCTGCCCACGGGACGCGTGCTCTTTGGAGAGCTTACTCCGCTCAAGTCAGCCCTGCATTCCACCTGGGTCTCTAAGTGAGTGCCCGTTAAAAAAAAAAAAGTGTGGAGTTGTGAGAAGTCTGAAAGGCCATCTTGCACAGCTGCTGCTGAAGGAAGAAACCCTTTGGGATGTTGTCACTGGACCAGGGAGATGCCGCCGGTCGTTCTCAGGCAGCTGAGTCCATGGCTCTTGGCCACTTGCTCGAGCGGGCGGCCGCTCAGGAAGGCCCTGCCGCTGGCCAGCGGGTTCTGGACGAGGACTGCCTTAACCCGTGGAGGGGCCCAGAGGCGCCTGTCTTACTGCCTGGGGCCAGGGCGCGTGGCTCTGGGTGCGCTCATGAGTCCTGCGGGCGTGCCCGGGGCCTCTCTCAGCACTCGAGGCCTGGAGAGTGGCGTGGATGGGAAGCCGGGGGATCATGAATTTGGGGAGCACTAGCACGACTCTTCCCCCTCCCTCAGTTGTGGGGAGCCGAGGTGAACCAGGAACCCGCACTCACACAGCTTTAACCCGGCAGGACCACTACGCGGGAGGGGACACAGTTTGCGGGCCATGAGAGCGCTCGTGGGGGACGCGGTCGGAGGGTCTGGTCTGGAGCATCAGGGAAACGCTCCCGAGAAGAGGCAGCTGTGCTGAAGCCTCAAGGAGAAGAGTGAAGGGAGAGGGGCAGGTGTGAAGGTGACAGGGAGCCCGAGGGGCGGATGGTGGCGACGCGAAGGATTTGGGACGGTTGTAAAAGGAGTGGAGGAAACACAGAACAGAGTTTGGGGAAGGGGGCGAAGGCGATCACCCACAGTAAAGACGACAGGGGGTGGGAGGGACAAGGTCTGGGAGGCAAAAGGACAAGTCCCGAGATGGGCAAATGGACACTGTCCCACTCCCCACCCCCAAAATTCCCACCCTACAGAGGAGTAGGACAGACACCAATCTTCACTTTGGGGCCACAGCCCACCAACGGTGACCATTCCCTCCGCTGTGCTCACTGAAGCCTTGTGGCACTTGGGTCCGATTCACCACGACAGTCCTCCCCAGGCACAGCCCACGCAACCACTGGGGTGAATGACATCTAGGAGACCAAACTGCCACAAGGGAGGAGGGTGGAGGCGTGGAAGGGTCTTCCACGCTTCCCAAGATAGCTGTCTCCCCAGCACAGATGCACAGTTGCTCCACAAACCCGGGGGATCGAATGAAAGCATGAATGTGCTTACTGCTGGGCAGTAAATGACAGCAAAGGAAAGCTGGAGGGACTCTGGGGACAGCTGCAGCTTCTCCACACCATGTCTACCACGGGCGAGCCCAGACACCTTCTGGCGCTGCCCTTTACCCCATAAGCCTAGCACCTGGGGCTGTGGGTCCAGACTCCAGCCTCACTTCTGCAACCGACTGCCCGCCAGCCGCAAGGCTCGGGGGTGTGCAGGAAGGAGCTGGGATTTTGGTCAGCCTAGGGCCCCCGCCCCCCCCCCCCACCCCCGCCGCCTTCCTCACCTCCGTGGTTTAGATGGAGCCCAATCTGGCTCCAGGCTCAAGGAGGAGAATACTGCATGCCCTGGCCCCAGGGGACACGGCGGCACATGAATAAGGCCAGGCCGCTGCCAGCAAATGAGACTCGGGTCCAGGACTTCCGTTGGAGCTACTGGGGAAGGGGCGCTCTTTCTCTGCTGGGGCTGCCAGCAGCTGGGTGTCACCACAAGGGGCCCTGGAGCAGAGCCAATCCAGCAGGAAGCAGAGCTGGGGATGGAGGAGGAAACTGAACCCTGGAGACACGGCTGGAGGCCCGGGGTCAGCAGGCCCGAAGCTAACCCCACCCCACCCTGACTCTTCAGTGAGGCCAGCAAAAGCTGATTTTTGGTTAAGCTGGCCTGAGCTTGACTTCTGTCTGTCCCTTGTCTCTAAGAGCCTCCGGCCTCTCTGGGAGAAGAGGCCTAGCCGCTGTAGACTTAATTAAACACACACCATACCCTGTAGAAGAAACCTAGGACTGGCCTCACAGTGAAGCCAAGATGCTCTCTTTCTCTTCCTAGCAGGCATCACCACCTGATGTACCGTGTGTGTGGGTTTATTATGGTCTGTCTCCCCTAGTAAGGGATCAACTCCATGAGATCGGAGCCTCTGCCTCGCTCCCCTTGTGTCCCACGGTCTGAGAACAGTAATCGGCACCCTGCAGGGATTCAACAAATATTTGATGGAGGGATGAGTAAGGCAAGGGGGGCACTGAGAAAATGACTGCCAGGCTGTAAGGAAGGACTGGAACGGAGAGGAAGCATCTGAGTGGTAGAGGAAGAGCTTCCTGGTGCTGGAACTGTGATGGCTGATGTGCAGGCACCCAGGAGGGGCTGCCTGTGGGCCCCCGGGGCAGGACGGGAACAGAATTAGTTTCAGCAGGAGGCTGCCTCTGGTGCAAAGGTCCTGCCCAGCACCTCCTGGACCACACGGCAGTGTCCGGGCGCAAGCTGGGAGCGGTCCCATCTGCTGGAGGGAACCCTCCTGCACGGTAACGGGGCATGTCGCACGGCTGCGGGCAGAGGCCAGCGAGAGGGGGGCATGGGGCTCTGAGCTTGGAAAGCAGACCTACCCTCATCACCTCCACTGCTGTAGTTCAGACCTCCCTTCTTTCTCCGCCTCCACCCTCACCCCCTGAAGTGAGGCCTCCACAGAGCAGCCAGAACCACTGGTGTGAAACTCACACTTTCAACTCAGCAACATCCTCCCAGACTAGGGTCGAAGGCCATTCAAAATGGGCACCCCGCACCGACCATGACTGTGGCACTGAAGAGCCCCCAGCATGTCCCACGCTTCTGGACTTCTGCCTGGCTTAGTCCCTCTGCCTCCAAGACATTCTCATCTTCTCTTCCGTGGCAGACACACATTCAGGTAGAGACACCACCTCCTCTAGGATGCTCCCAGTTTGAACTGGGCTCCTGAAGCCTGCTCTGGCTTATATCCTGCATGGGTTACACCAAGGGTACCTGTCAGGGATGCTGAGAGATCACAGACACAGCATCTGAAACAGCTCTGCACGCAGCCTGTCACCTGGTGTGTGCAGTGTAAGAACCGTCCAGTAAATGTTTGAACTAAACCCCTTCTGTACTTCTTCACATGGGTAGCACCAGCTGCTATGAGATCACATAAATATTTATGAAGCCCTTGTTCTGTGCAAGGCATCACGGGAAAAATGCGGAAAATGCGGAACGGAAGCCGGGGGCAGAAAACTTCAGGGTAAAACGTCTGATGAAAAGGGAAGGGGTGTGTCTGTTTACTTGGCCGTGTGTGTGTGTGTGCGTGTGTGTGTATGTGTGTGTGTGCGCGTGTGCGTGCACGCGCGCGCACATGCTATTAGCTTATTTGCTCCCCTGGCAGTATCCTCTCCTGGACCTTAAGCTCCATAAGAGTGGGGCCTCTGTTGTGTTCGCCTCTGTATCTTCAGAGCCAAACGCAGTCTCACACATAACACGTGCTCAACAAGCAGTTAGAGAGCAAGCGGAACGCCGTGGGCCACACGGGCTGGGGCCAGGGAGGCCTGGGCCCTGGCAGCCCACCTCGCGGGCCACAGGGACCCCTGCGGAGGGCAGGTTTGGGGGACAGAACTTTGGTCAGTTCTCTACCAAAGACACAAAGCATCAGAGCCACGCGTGTTTCATTTCTGCTCATCCGCTTTTAGGGCCCAAAGTCCGTAAACTGCAAGCTAGTCCCGACTCCACGGCAGCAACACACGTGTGCCCCCTTCCAGGCAGACTGTCTTTAACTGTCCCACATCACCACTGCTTCTGGTTGTCACCGAAAAAGCAGCGTCATCCAGCCAACTGAAACCCAAGTTTGGGGAACGAACAGGGGACAGAAGCAACGAGGCTCCTTGGAACTGCCTGAAGCCCCAGTCCAGCTTTTCTTTCACAAGTGAAGGGAAAACCACCACCAGAGATTTGTAGAGAGACCTAGGCCACCGCAAAGACCTAAAATATTAAAATGTTAACCAAATACACGTTATTTGATCCAGATTCTGTCCACCAGGCGTTTTTTTCTTTGTTTTTTGGTTCTGTGAAGTGCTCCCTGGGACTTCCCTGGTGATCCAGTGGTTAAGAATCTGCCTTCCAATGCAGGGGACGCGGGTTCGATCCCTGGTCGGGGAACTAAGATCCCACAAGCCGTGGAGCAACTAAGCCCGCGCGCGAAGTAGGGAGAAGCCCGCGCACCACAGCAAACAGTCCGCATGCCACAGCTAAGACCTGACGCAGCCAAATAAATAAATTCTCCTTGATCAAATTAGTCTGTAAAAAAACAGCCCACCTGGAGCGTTGAATAGACTCATCAACATAAGAAGGGTTAAGAAAACCAACAGTAAAGAAAGCCGTTTCA